AAGTGGCTTTATACACCATCAATCAATCAACATATAGATGTATGGAACTCCAAAACTGTCTTGTTATGCTCATTTTCATTATATGATGTGCATTTACCTTTATATGATGTGCACTTGTCATTATATGATGTGCAAACACCTTTATATGATGTGCAAATATCCTTATATGATGTGCAAATATCCTTATATGATGTGCAAACATCATTATATGATGTGCAATCATACTTATATGATGTTCATATATACTTATATGATGTTCATATATACTTATATGATGTGCAAATATACTTATATGATGTGCAAATGTACTTATATGATGTGCAAACATTCTTATATGATGTGCAAACATTCTTATATGATGTGCAAATATACTTATATGATGTGCAAATGTACTTATATGATGTGCAAAGATCCTTATGTGATGTGCAAATATACTTATATGATGTGCAAATATACTTGTATGATGTGCAAATATACTTATATGATGTGCAAATATCCTTATATGATGAGCATTTTCCCTTATATTATGTGCTAACATCTTTATATGATGTGGTTGTGTCATTATATTATGTGGTTGTAATCTTATATGATGTAGTTCGATTTACTTCATTATATGATGTCGAAACGTTTCATCGTCGTTATGGTCAACTTGAGCTACTTTGTACTTATTCAGGAGCATTGGCTACTTGAGGTACAATTAAATCTGATAGGAGAAATCGACTGCGAACTATGCCGCTAAAGGGATGGATAAATATGATCCGCTCCCCCCGATATATTTGTCAAGAGGATATGTAGGAGTAGCTATAATATGGAAAATGAAACTGGACAGTATGATTAGGTCATTAGATGATGGAAGAGAACGTATACAATGTGTGGAAGTCTAAGGAAAAGATAATAACAATCTGCTTTTAATATCTGTTTATTTACCATCAACTGGAAGTCGAAATCATTATAAGGAATTCCTAGACACTATAGACCAACTCAATGAAAGTGTGCTCACATATCAAGATACACATTATATGATAATTGGAGGCGATCTAAACGAAGACTTAGGAAACAGCGATAGAATAAATAAGAGAAAAGACTATATGGAGAAATTTGTGTAAGAGGCCGGGCTTAAATACGAAAATGAAGGAAAGACATTCGTAAAGGTCAATGGAGAATAATGTTCAGAATTGGACTATTTCCTACATAAACTTGGAAGAATCAAGCCAACACACAAGCAAGTGATGAGTAGCATTATGAACAACACATCAGATCATCATCCAATAAAAATGAAAATATTATATGGAATCTCGAACGATGCAGATTGCAAAAATCTAACAAAGGATTGTACAAACCAAGCTATCAAATGGGATAAAGTTAATATTGACCTATATGCAGCCATGACAAATGAACAATCGGATGCTATACTCAACATGCCGCTGGATACATTAGAACAAGCTACGTATACGTCCGTCTTAGAGCAAGTGCATGAATTTCTAAATGACGCAGCAGTTACATGTGCCTCAAACAAGCCAAGGTACAAGGCAAAACCGAAATTGAATGTATGGTCTGCAGATATAAAGTTAGCCCTGGATGAGATGCGTAAATACTATGCGCAGTGGGTCAAGCAAGGAAAACCAAAGGACCCTGAAAATAATATATACCAACAAAGATTGAGAACTAGAAAGGAATTTAGGCGGCAGGTGCGAATTGAAAATGCTAAAATCAAAGATGCAGAGAAACAGCGCATAATGGAAACTAGAACAAAGGATGCAAAACTGTTCCACCACTTAGTAAAAAGCAATAGAAAGAACAGGGGTAATATGCTATCATGGACTTGCATGTAGAAGACGTATGTATGTCTGGTGAGCAAAATGTTATGGAAGGCTTCAAACTGCACTTTAGAAACTTAGCAACTCCAGAGGAAGCTATAGTCTTAGAGAACCTGCAATATCATCAAGCAGTAGAATACGAAATAGGATTAATTACGGAGATAGTGAAAGAAAAGGATATACCACCGGCCACACTGGAAGAACTACAAAAGGCCATCAAATCAATTAATAAAGGAAAATCAGCTGATATTTATGGAATCACTGTCGCACATATATTACATGCAGGGGAAAAATTGGAATGGTTGTTACTGAACCTCATCAATATAATATTCAAAGAAGGCAAGGTTCCAGATATGCTAAAAGAGGGTTTACTCACCCCGTGTATAAGAACAAAGGCGAGAAAAATATAGCAGCTAACAAAAGAGGAATCACTGTACTACAAAGTCATGTGTTAAACAAAGTGATAGAAACAATCATAAAAGTAAGAATCAACCCAGCAGTACTCGTTACCCAAAATGTAACTCAGGCTCGGGACCAGCAAATTCAGTCTTACCGGTAGAAGAAATATAACGTAGAGCGAAGGACAACAATCAAGAGTATGAACTAGTACTGCTGGGCGCAAAATCAGCCTTTGATGTGATTATACATTCTCATCTTATGAAGCGGCTCTATCATGCAGGAATCGATGATAAGCACTGGACAATCATTCAGAGTATGCACACTAATGCAACAAGTGCAGTTAAATAGAATGGCCAAACTTCTCAGCTATTTAATGTACTACAGCTAGGGAGTACGCCAGGGTGGAATCCTAAGTACCGACCTATACAAGCTTTATATCAATCCACTACTTAACATCCTGGAAACATCAAGTTTAGGATGTAGAATTGGAAATATACTCTGCAATATTAGTGCATGTGCAGTTGACGTAGCACTCATGAGCAAAAAGACAACCGATATGCAAGTACAAGTCAACATGGCAAACACTTTTGCCGGCATGTAGGGGTATAACCTACAGCCAAAAAAAAAGTGGCTTTAAACATCAAATCCAAGCCATCAAGGAAAGAAACACTATTGGAAGAATATACAATGGGTGAAGCTTCTATGCCTAGAGTCGAATCAGCTATGCATTTAGGAATACTCAGAACCAACTCTATGAAACATAATATTATAGCAAATATCGAGGAGAATATAAAAAAATCAAGGAGAAATGCTTATGCTCTACTTGGCAGTGGCTTCCATGGTGAAAATGGACTTGATGTGGAAACAATAATACACCTGTATAAAATCTACATCTTACCAGTGTTATTATATGGTATAGATCTATTAACACCACGATCCTTTAATCTGGAGAAATTGGAAAAATTTCAAAAGAAGATGCTTAAGCAACTAATGTCAGTACCAACTAACACACCAGATCCAGCAATCAACATCTTGACAGGAATATTACCAGTTGAGGCACAAATACACATAAAGGTTATGACCCTCTACATAAATGTATGTACCCAATCCAACGAAAGCCTAGAAAAACAACTAGCAAGGAGGCAACTATGCATCAAGTCAATGAATAGTAATAGCTAGTTTATTGAAGTAAAAACAATCATGCTAAAATACGATCTAGGAAATGCAATTAAGTGGCTAAATATTCAGATGAAAAAGGAAGAACTATTAAGTAATACCAGAAAAAGGAATCAATGCCTATTGGAGTGAGCGAATTACATCCCTAGCTAAGTTCTATACCGGCCTTCGATACCTTAACAGTGATATATTCATGCCAGGGAAAATACATCCAATATTGCGTATTAAGCACCAATCTCCAAGAGACAGCAAGCAAGTACTTACCAAGATTAAACTGTTAAATGGTACTTATATACTTCAACCACTAAGATATAAGATATACAAAGAAGGAACTGAAGATCAGTGTATAGCTTGCGACTGTAAAGAAGAGACATTAGAACATTAAAAATTTTGCTTATACAATGTGAAGCTTGGAATTACTTGTGAGATCCAATTCTACAAACAATTAAGAACCTCTTAATCGCAAATGGGGAAGTGCGTGAAGAAGAACTTACAAGTGAAATGACAAGACAAGTATTAAATGGACATTACTAAAATACAAAAGAGATATAGAATCACATCCGACCTGATGTCTAAAATAAAATTTCAAGCAAGAAGGCTAGTGTTCTTCATTCACAATGCACGGTATCAACTGGTGATGAAAGACCAAGCAAGGAAATAGGATGCCTGGGAGTTGGTGCAAGGATGGGAGGGGCAGCAATGAATAATTAAATAAATAATTAATAATGTACTGTGGTTCATAAGTGTTTCTCGTTTCTCGTTTTTTATATAGATTAGACCGTTGGTTTTCCCGTTTGAATGGTTTTACACTAGAAATGTTTGGGGCCCTTTATAGCTTGCTGTTCGGTGTAAGCCAAGGCTCCGTGTTGAAGACCCCACTTTGACCTATAATGGTTTACTTTTATAAATTTTGACTTGGATGGAGAGTTGTCTCATTGGCACTCATACTACATCATCTTATATCTATTAAATATATTTTTGAAAGCATAATTCTTCTATTAACTTTTATAGTTCACAGTAAATAATTTTTTTGCGAATTATCTTTAAAAATATTTATGAACGCATAATTCTTCTATTAAAATTAACTCTTATAGTTCACAGTAAATAATTTTTTTTGCGAATTATCTTTAAAAATATTTAGGTGATTTTTTCTCATCCCTATAAATATACTAAATTTAATATCAGAAGACAATAAAACTTTAAACTTCCCGATGTAAAAAGTCATAAAAACTTTAAACTTCCCGATTTTAATAGTGTATATATTGTTTTGTTTTTTTTTTTAGTTTTTTTTTGTGATTTTTAATTTTCATTATGTTGTATATTTTTGGTGGTGGAACTGTTCGACATACGAAAGTATGGTTACCCTATACAGGGTGTAAAGATCCAAAAACAAGAAGAAGTTAAATTGCAGAATAAAATGTGGGAAAATCATAAAATGTATTTGTACTCGTTAAGAAACATACTGTCTATATAAATACTTTAAATTCAAACTAATAAATAATAATAGTCTTGTATCCCACATCTCGTTTCTCATTTGTGCGAGAAGATGTTAGGTCGGATTTGTCAGACTTATTTTTTTTATTATCGGAACATTTCGGGTGTCTACTTAACTCCTTTTACATCGTCTGCAAGCGCTGAGATGAAGGTTTGGCTAGATGTTTCTCTTTACTTACATACTTTAAGAAGGTGTTTACTGTAACTGAAACAGAAAAACATGTTGTCCTTTCAATCTTCTGAAGAGCAGAGCATATCAAAACATATATGCAGATTAGTCACTGCAAGCAAAATATGTCCTGTGACAGTTTTGACACGCCCCCAAAATTTTAAATATTTCCCTCTTGCAGTAAATACCCCCCGTTGTATAACAGCCAGTATTGGTTAGTATGACATATACAAACATATACAGATACCAACTAAGCCACTTTCGAAATTAAATTAAATCAATATGCCTTCATAAATCATTTTTCAGAAAAACAAACGAAACAGAACATGACTGTCATGAGACTACAGAGGAAAAAATATAGAACATGAAAAATTGCTCTCCTTATTCTCTAAATCATTTAGTCTTCAACTTCTTTAGATGCTTAAAACACACCTTTTCATCTTGAGACCCACATTGGAGCTTTCAGCGACCTCTTATTATAAAATACAAATTCATTCATCATACACTTTGAAAGCTGAACTTAAATGTTTCAATTTCAAGACACCACATATATTGGTCGAGGACTAGTTACCGTCAGTTACCAGTTACCATCAACTTGCATTTTATGCAATAACAGACATGTTGCGTAAATATGGCATACTGTAATTATCTTCATAGAAATACACTTATTTTTTTATAAACTTGATTTGGTTTAAATTAACTTCTTAAGACTCGGAAATCTTGATTTTTTTTTTTTTTGAAGAAAGTCACAATAGGCCGCCTGTACAAAAAGGGATGCCCGTAAATGACACGGAAACCAGTCATAGAAAATCATACTTTATCAGGGCGTCATTGTAGTGTTTACGGAATGCATGTCCAGGTGGAAACCAGGCGGAAACCAAGCGTAACTGAGGCGGAAACCAGGCGTAATATTTAAATGAGTACGCCTGATCCACAGAAAACCAGGCATTATATGCAAATGAGTACTCCTGGTCAATAAAAAAAACCAGGCGTAATATCCTTACATAATACTACACTTATTTTAAATCAGTGTATTACCCTAGCTGTGTATTTGATACAAAGTTCTGTACTATTGCTTAAATTTCTCATTGTTTGGCATGAAACTTGAAATATTAATCATTAATTGAAGAAGCTATATAAATAAATACATATTAGACAGACACTGGCTCAAATAAGTTAAAGTTTAAATTAGAATTATGACAACTAATTTTTCCTGAAATAAAACCAGCATTTTAACTAAGTTTTTTTTGAAAATTAATGTCATTTGAACCAAAATATCAATGATAATACTGCAATTTAACTTAATGTGAAAGATTTTAATGTTATCATCCAAGGATGAAGGTTTTCAGAATTCAAAATTACTGTTAAAAAATAAAACTTAGTTACTCACATAATTATCTTTTACCATGTATCCCGTACGAAATTATAAGGCGTATTACGCCTGGAAATCTGGCGTAAATCAGGCGTAAGTGGTAGTTACGTGTCCAGATCCAGGCGTAAGGGAACAGGAAACGTAAATTTGTAGTCCTTACGGGCGTAGAAAATATGGTAAACCTGGCGTAAATTTAAATAAGCAAGGCGTAAATTTTCCTACGGGCGTAAAACTGTTGGTATGGCGTAAATCATAATACCCATAATGCTTTGTTGATAAAGGATCATGGGATTTTTTTTTTCAAAATTTGGCTCTTTTGTATTATTTTGCAAGAGTTGGACTTATGGCAGATTTATATATTCAGGGATAATTAAGCTTGTTTTGTGCTTTTTGGAAGAATTTGAAATTGGAATTATGGAATCAAATTAATTAATGAAAATTGTGAAATAAAAGGAAAGTAATATATCCCGTACGAAATTATAAGGCGTATTACGCCTGGAAATCTGGCGTAAACCAGGCGTAAGTGGTTGTTACGTGTCCAGATCAAGGCGTAAGGGAACAGGAAACGTAAATTTGTAGTCCTTACGGGCGTAAAAAATATGGTAAACCTTGCGTAAATTGAAATAAGCAAGGCGTAAATTTTCCTACGGGCGTAAAACTGTTGGTATGGCGTAAATCATAATACCCATAATGCTTTGTTGATAAAGGATCATGGGATTTTTTTTTCAAAATTTGGCTCTTTGGTATTCTTTTGCAAGAGTTAGACTTATGGCAGCTTTATATATTCAGGGATAATTAAGCTTGTTTTGTGCTTTTTGGAAGAATTTGAAATTGGAATTATGGAATCAAATTGATTAATGAAAATTGTGAAATAAAAGGAAAGTAATATACATGGTAAAAGATAACTATGTGAGTAACTAAGTTTTTTTTTTAACAGTAATTTTGAATTCTGAAAACCTTCATCCTTGGATGATAACATTAAAATCTTTCACATTAAGTTAAATTGCAGTATTGTCATTGATATTTTGGTTCAAATGACATTAATTTTCAAAAAAAACTTAGTTAAAAGCTGGTTTTATTTAAGGAAGAATTAATTGTCATAATTCTAATTCAAACTTAAACTTATTTGAGCCAGTGTCTGTCTAATATGTATTTATTTATATAGCTTCTTCAATTAATGGTTAATATTTCAAGTTTCATGTCAAACAATGAGAAATTTAAGCAATAGTACAGAAGTTTGTATCAAATACACAAAAGTACACAGCTAGGGTAATAAACTGATTTAAAATAAGTGTAGTATTATGTAAGGATATTACGCCTGGTTTTTTTTATTGATCAGGAGCACTCATTTGCATATAACGCCTGGTTTTCTGTGGACCAGGCGTACTCATTTAAATATTATGCCTAATTTTACGCCTGGTTTCCGCCTCAGTTACACTTGGTTTCCGCCTGGTTTCCGCCTGGATATGCATTCCGTAAACACTACAATGACGCCCTGATAAAATATGATTTCTACGCCTGGTTTCCATGTCATTTACGGGCGTCCCATTTCGTACAGGAATGCGCCATGATGTATACTGCAAACTTATTAACTTACAATCAAAAGCTGATTTCCCTACTGTAGTTCTGACCAACCATGTGATGAATGTATAGCCAGTCAACTTGAGTCAAGGTTGTTAAAACACTCCCATCATCATCTAGTTGTAAATAGGACCTTAAATCACTGACATGGTTGACTAGGAAGTGGTACAAATATTATTTATATTTTTTTATTGCCATCATACACAGATACACAAATTTTTAGAAGCAGAATGATCCTTTATAAAAATAAGAAATCACAGTCTTCACAATAGACTTTTGAATCTAAAGGACTGCGGCTCATTTCACAAAAAATCTTAAAGAGTAAAAATATTCGTAAGTCATACACATTTCAGTATAACTTACGATCAATTTTAATCGTAAGATTTTTTGTGAAAAGAGTCGCTGAAGCTCAATTTTAAGAAAATTTTAGTTAGATTATATTGGCCTGTGGAGATGATTTTTATAGGCCCGACAGAAGTTTTACAAGTCTGGGCTTATGGGCCTGTGGTTGAGCGCGAAGACTGGGAGATTTGGTATGATTGCCAATAAGACAACTTATCCACACAAGTTCAAATGAAGTGGATGTAAGCAATTATAGGCAATCGTATGGCCTTCAACAATGAGAAAAATCCATACCGTATAGTCGGCTATACAAGGGCCTGACATAAAAAAAAAGGAAACAATTCAATTGAGAAAAATTACAGCCTCATTCTGTGTTTATAACAAAACAAATATTACAGACATGAACCAACGAAAACCACTGAACTACAGGCTCATGACTTGGGACAGGCACATAAAGAATGTGGAGGGGTTTAACATACATGTTTGTGAGCACTCAACCCTCCCCTAATCTTGGACAGTGGTGTAACAGCCAGTCAGGGGTACTTACTTGTACAAGTAATTTTTATTTACTTAAAGAAGTAAATATTAATATACTTATATAAGTAAATTTGTAGGATACTTATACAAGTGTATTTTATTTACTTGTATAGGTAAATAATTTTTTGGCTTAGTTATGTCCCTTAGACATTCAGACTTTTTTACTTATACAAGTAAAAAAGTCATCCAATCTTCTTTTTCTGAGTTCTTAGGACTTCTTTGCTCTTATAGAATTCTTAATTGTCTGTCCCTTGTAGATGTCTTTACTAATCATTTAAGTGTAATTTCATGGACAATGAAAATCTTATTTGTCTGTTATCTTCAGAACACTGCTCATTTACAAGCCCCCAAGGGGCAATTTTTGAAGGCCTTGCTCAAATACTAAGATCTTTGCGCAATCAGTTTCTTTGTTGAATTAATGAGATGAAACATTGAACTTTTATCAAAAATAACCTGAGAAAAATTGTTAAAGGCATGTTTTTACATCTCAAAACTTGAGAATTTTTGTGGGATTGTAAAAAAAAATTACTTATACATGTACAAGTAAATTTTTGAGAAAATTAAGGGGAGATTATTCAAACATTATAATTAACTTATATAAGTCATGTAAGTATATTTTATTTACTTCTTCAAGTAAATAAAGATTACTTGTACAAGTAGTACCCCTGACTGACAGCACAACCTAAGAGAAGAGCAAACTATAAAAATCAGTTGAATAAGGCTTAAACCAGTTAACCACATCTAGAAAATTTTGAATATATTATATATACATTTAGCCTTTTTTTTATTTGCTGGGAATGTCACATAGAAAACAAGGAAATTGACTCCCCTCACTGGATTTGTCCTAGCATATGATTATAACACCATTCATTTCCTAATTAATTTTTCAGAAATCTGAGGAGAATGGACATGAGGACTCAGATGCAGAAATTGATATCAGATCACCTAGTCCTGTTGTAAATTCTGGTCCCTTCAAACACCTGTATGATGTTAAAGTACCTACAGCAGTAAAAGATGGGGATAATTTGCAGTTCACCATTACAGTCTGTAATGTAAGGTCAAAGGATAGGAAGACATATTGTGCATTATATTATAAGATAAAGGAGATGAAGGGTACACATACATGCAACAGCAAGCCAACAACACAATCAACTAAAATGCATGCACCTCAATATACATGTGCAAAATGTCAAATTTGTAATTACTAAGAGTCTTAAAAAGATGTGAATAAATTAAACAGAAACTTATGAAGATGTGCCATCAACACCAAATTTAGAATATAAAACGATGTAAAATACAACAAATGACAACCACTGACAATATTCCTGACCAATGAAATGAATGAGAGATGCGTGAAAAAATATATGTCAGAGTTAGATAGTTTTTTAGATCTAATTGAACCCTTGCATAGATATTTATATGATCTCGTAGATGCCTATTTGTGATAGCACGTAAACATTCCCTTTCAAATTCATTTATACTCACAATAACTACCAACTGCAGAAAAATTGTGCTATTATAAAAAGAAAAATTTGTAAAGAAAAAATAGTATGAAACTTTTACAATTGTGAATTTAATTTGTAATCTACTTTTGTATGAAAGTTATCCAAATTTTATTTGTTACCAACTGTCATGACTGATGTAAGGAAGTTATTGACATTTATTATGCACTTTTTATTAAAATTGCCTGAAAGTTTTGAAGTTTATCGAGATATCAGATTACAACTTGTACACATCTAAAATTATATTTTATTGATTAATGTATTATTTTTGTTATTGTTTATATATTAGCCAGACAATGACGAAGAACTGAGTACAGTAACTAGAATTTATGATGATATAGAATGGTTGCAGCATTGTTTAATGACACAGAACAGTGTATCAGGAATTATAGTATGTATTTTAAGTAAATTGATAGACATTATCCCAAATATACGACAGGATACAAAGAATGGGGATAATATTTTTATTAATTCATGATTCTCTGTGTAGTTTTATTCAGAGTTTCAAATTCAATACATTTATATCACAATTCACCTCATGTTATGGTATGGGCTTAAAAAGAGCTAGAGAAAAACATAAGAATTTCTTTCATATCAGTCAACACAGATTTTATTCCTAATTGTCTTTAGTTTTTATATATCTGTTGAAGACGGGACATATTATGGTATACCAATATCCGTCCATACGATAACTCAAGTTCGCCTACAAGAGTAGGGAACATTACTGTGACTTCATCTGACCTATCCATCTGTTTGTTTGTCCTAATTTTTTGTCAGGTTAGTTTTTGTTTCATGTAGTTTAAGATGAAAAATTATTCAAATCAATTTGAGACTTAATATTTATAATAAACATCTTTATTATTCTAAACTTTTAAAAGATATATCAGCCAAATTAGGGTTTTACAATGATTTTGTGGTTTACTATACATGCAAATGAGATAGTATGAATGGGGCATGGTGTCCAATGAACAGATATTGTTTTGTTTTTCTCTGAAGCATAATTGACTAAATACAATCAAAGTTTACCTTAGTTCTCCGTACAACATCTACTATGATAGTTATATCCATTCATCTTGTCAACTTTATATTACTATAGTTTAAAGAAAGAATTAAAACACACCAAATGCTAAAAATTATTGTTTTTTTTATGCAATATCTTTTTTTCTTTTGCCAAATTGTCAAATATCTAGATTGTCTGTGTCTAAAATAAGAGAGGCTAATGATACCAAAGGGATATTCAAACTTAAGTACATAAGGCATACTGATAACACCATGACAAAACACAAAAATTGCCAAAAGACAAACAAGTGAAATAACACAACATAGAAAATAAAAGACTGAGCAACACAAACCACACCAAAAACTGGGGGTGGATCAAAGGTTGATATTATAATAAATCTTGGAATGAAATAATGTCATGTTAAAATGACATATACAAAAAAATATTTTGAATATATTCTATTTATCATTTAAACTTTTGTATGAACATGAAAATCATTATGTTATCAAATTTGCTACATGTTGATATATAGGTACCACCTTTACCAAACAGACCAGAAACAGATGCTAAGGCAGCAGAATCTAAATCAAAGAAACAATTAGGAAGTGGTAGTAAGGTCATGGTTCAAGATGATTTTACTAGAGACTGTAGGAGTGTAGAAAAGTTAGTATGATATATCATCTACAGAAGGGGGTAGGTGGTTGTTTAGTGGTCTAAGTAGTTCATCTATTGTATCACTAGCCTATCAACACTGAGGTTGTGAGTTCGAACCCCACAGTTAGCAGGTGTGTTGAACTCCAATCTTAGGATTGTCACTTTTCCTGACAAAAGTCGTTCGTCCTCTCCAGGCACTGCACCGTCCTCCACCAATAAAAAATGACCGCCATGATATAGCCTCTAGTGATGAAAGTGGCATTAAATACCAACAATCAATCAATCAATTATCTACAGAAAGTTTTTCAGAATTGTACTGGGAAGTAAATATATACCAAGTTATAGTATAAATGTAGTAATAAATATTTTACACTGATTGCTTATCTTAAAATACAACATTCAGCAATATTTTCAATATTCATTCTAGGATAAAATATTAAAACTAGAGCATTTCAAAGAGTAGGATATATACTGTAAATTCAGAAATTATTGCGTGCATTTATTATTGCAATTTTGTCACTTTAGACTAAAATGCGATTTTAATTTTTGTGATATTGAGAAAAATACTTGATTAATTCATATAAAAAATTTCAAAATGCGAGTAAATTTTTGCGATTATAACACTGTCGCATTTTTCGCAATAATAAAAACATCGCAATTATTTCTGAATTTACAGTATATATATATATATATCAGTCAAGGGTATAACTCTATAGGGTTATTAGAGAAAAATAACATACATTTGTTATTGTGGACTAAAAAAAACAAAAACTGTGATAACATATGTATGTTACATGTTTCAAAGGGGCAATATACATCCTTTGTTTTGTTAAAGTGTATACAAGTTCTATTGATATTATTATTGTCTTTATGTATACTAAACTATAGAAAGATATAACAGTTCATAGTTTGCCAGTCATGAATAGTACACCTATGTTATTATAGAAAAAATATGCCTGTAATAACTAAAGGGTGTTATTACAGCTTCCCTACATCACTTCAAAGCCTTTGCTCAGACATATATCATGCTTAATCATAATGTATTTTAATTTATTGTAAGAAATAATGATCAGAGCATGTAATGAGGTTCTGCGCAAGCTTCCAAGTAATTCCCAAATGTCTCGTATAATAAGTTACATGCCTGTAATAACTAAGCCTTGTTATTACAGCTAAGTTTATCCCTTAAAAGCCGTGTCTCATTGATTTACCATGGTTGATAAAAAATGTATTAATTTAATTGGAAAATTAGTTATCAAGGCTATATGATGTATTAAGTAACTGCGCAAAGTTTCAAGAATTCCCAAGTGCCCACTTAAATTAAAATATTTATGATTTATTTGACAAATAACAAAAATATGTTACTACAGGTTAAGAAAATTTAAGGAATAAAGAGTAAACAAATCATGAAAGTATCTGTAATAACACATGTATGATATTTTCTCTAATAACCCTATAGAGTTATACCCTTGACTGTATATAGTTCAAATTATTACACAATTACTTTGAATTTTAATGTATGGTATATTCTAAAAAGGTTCTGTAAGTACAAAATATAATTGTATTTAGTCTAGTAACTAAACAACACAAATATAACATAATGAGACTTACTTACTATTGTTGATAAAAAAAGTGACTACATAATTATTTTACAGAAGTGCTTATAATTGTGGATAATATCACATTGAAATGACATTGTATTGTATTCAACTATGTGGTACTTAATTATTATATGATAAGAAAAGATCAATTTGAATCTTACACAAACAAACCTAAAAATAAACCATCAAGGACAACAAATGATTCATTAGTATTAGAAACTGAAGCGTTTAAAAACTTGGTGTTTTTTTGAAGAAATAGATTTTTTTATAGTTGTTTTTATGTTAAAATTATTTTTATCTTTCAGCTACCTTAAACTTATTACTCATCATGAAGTGTTTGGTAAAGATGAAAATCTACGTAAATTTCTGTTGGAGAAAGAGGTGAGACCCTCTCTCATTTTTATTTGCCCATAATGAGCTTGTAACTTCATTCTAATTATTTTTTTAATTTAGTTTAGATGTACACATCAGGGTATTAGATTTGAATTCAAATTTCCCTGAAATGCAAAGAGAACAAACATTCTTTTAGAAATTTTAACTTTTCTACAGCAATAAATAGTGATTTTGGATATTCAATTGTACATGTAGATCAGTGAGACAGCACTTATCCACCCCAGCCAAAAATGGTAACTTTCAGTCTATTTTTGGGCCAGGTAATCTTTTCTCATCATTTGGCGTCCTGATTTGTCATCCATTAACTTTTACAAAAATTTCTCCTCTGAAACTACAGGGCCAAATTTAACCAAACTTGGCCACAATCATCATTGGGGTATCTAGTTTTAAAATGTGTCTGATGACCCTGCCTTTCAACCAAAATGGCTGACATGGCTAAAAATAGAACACAGGAGTAAAATGTTTTATCTATTATTTTAAAAACTGCTACAAAAAGAGAATATCTGATAGGTGCAGAAATGTTCAGAATGTTGAGCTCTACCTATTGTCTATTTAAGTACAATTGGCTCAAAAAGAAATTGCCTGCAAAATTGATTTTTTATTTAAATGTTTTTGGCAGGATCAATATAAACAGGGTAAGGTAAACTCATGTTCCTGATTTATTCCCTTTGAAATTAACATTCAATTAACCAAATCTGAAATTCAAGATGGCAACAACACCAAACAAAAATCAGTTTTACTTCTGATCTTGTAATGGGATTTTCAAGATTTTGTTACTGTAGGATTAAATATTTTGCATGATAATTAGCTTGTTGACAAAACAGGCTTCATGAAGACTTAGGATCTTTCAATATATCCACAGTTGAAATTATTAACTTAATTAGAATTAATACCTGCATATATTTGCATAGTATAGAGGACTTAAATGTTTTTTAAAAACAGTCCTGCTGTTTTTGAAATATAATTTTAATATCAAGTTAAAAGAATTTTTGTGAAATGATTTTTCTTTGCAGTTTCCTAAAAATATACTTTATAGACTTTTTTAAAAGATATTTATACCATAATTTAAATGTAAGTCATATAATTAAAAGCAAAAATGAGCAAACCATAGAAATCTGATAAACCATTCCAATGAATTAACTGTGATGTGTTTCTAAAGTATAAGGATGTATTTGATGTATAGAACATCCTGGTCTTTTTAAATAATCAAAGAGCCAATTACTGTATGGATACTTAAAAAATATAAGGGTACTACATTTTGGGGTACTGTTAAACAATTTTTCAAAATTATATATATATTTTGATATGAAATATTGTTTAATTAAAAAACAGAAAAACAGAATTTGCAGGTCATTGCATCTTTTGCATTAATTTTTATTATATATTTCATAGGCAGCAGTGAAAGCCAAGGTTAAGAGAGGGTTCTTTAACAGAATGTCAAATATGGTAGATGAAGCCAGAAAAGGGCAGCATAAGGTATGACTAATCATTTTTTTTTTTATTTATGGAATATTATTGAAAATAAAATGCAGATCGATTTTCATTTAATTTAGTTTCAAATTTTATAAGACTCTGTACCTCAGAGTTGTTGTCATTTATTTTTAAGACAAATGGACATTTTTGGATCAATAAATATATTATCGAAAACTAAATAATTAATGAAATACTGGTTTACAATGGTTTACTTGGATATTCATCTTACTAAAACAAAAAACAATCAAGACAAACAACAGTATACAAAATACTACCAAAAAAAAACAAAGACTGAGCAGCACGAACCCCACCCACAACCTGGGGTGATCTCAATTACTCAGGAGAGGTTTGCAGATCCTCCTCCAGATGTGGCACCAATCGTGTTACTCCTATAAAATATGTTGATCAGTTATATCAATAGTTGGTTGAAAACCTCTCAAAACAAATTTATTCAAATTTTATGAATTTGTTTTAAAAAACACCTGTTTTAATGTTTTGTATTAGAAAGGTAATAAACATTTCTGTCTTTTTTTTTTTTTTTTCTTAGATTATTTGTAACAGGTATAAATACCTTTAGTTTTTTTTTAATCTATTTTCAGGATGTTGATGAATTTTTTCAAAAGCAAAGAGAATGGGCTGTCAATTATGGAAAGTACATGAAAGATGCATCACTGGTACGTAAAACAGTTTCTGTGTCAACTCGTTCCTTTGCCAATTTGTACTCGACTAACTCGTACCAATTTTCACTAACTCATGCTTTTACCAACTGGTACTTTTAGCAACTCTTACCCAATTTTTAGTTGCACTCATATGCAATATAGTAGTTTTTTTCTGTCATATAAAATTTCGAAAGAAAAGAAAAATAGATATGTTGATTTGAAATTATGATTAGTGATCATTAAACGTTGGACCTACAAACTGATTAATTATTGATTATGTTGGGATTTTTTTAAGCATAGAGAATTTGATAAAAAAAATAATTTCAGAATAAATGCAGCACTGTTAATATGGCTTTAAAGTTTGACATTTTAAAATGGATATGTTAAATGTGTGTAGTAGCTTTATAATATCAAAAAGATAGTGAAGTTTTGAGATCAACTAAAAAAACTTCTTCAATACACCCAATGGAATAAATCATTCAAAAAATAAATTTTCCAAATTTCTTCAGATTTCAAGCTCAAAGATGAAGTGCAGTGTGTCCTCATTTGATAACAAGGAGAAAACTGAATAAAACGTTATTTTCTCAATTAAACAGATTTCAGCTGCTTTCTAAACAAAGCGGTCATGTTTTTCAATAAACATATTTTTTTTTACCACTAGATCAGAGACTTGCATTCTATACAAGTCTCGTACAATATCATTTTTGAAAATTTAAAAATACAAAATTACCATTAAGTTTACGATTTATCCTCAAAATGAGGAACAAGTTGGTTGAGTATGAGTTGGTCAAAGTATGAGTTGGTTGAGAATGAGTTGGCAAAGGTACGAGTTGTTGTGTACCCCACTCAACATGTATTTAATAATGTTCATCACAGGTATGTAATACACATGTTATAATACTTCACAGATACTAAATACAATTTTACTCTCGTTGTCTCGAACTCGGTTGACTCGAAATTTCGGATGAGTCGAAGTTTTCCCGTGGTCCCGAACTTTGTTCCATATAAATGTATGTATTTCGACTCCTGATGAGTCGAAATTTCGGTTGACTCGAACTAAATTTACGGTCCCAAGGTTAACAAAAGCATTCAAAATTCATTATTTATCTCGAACTAATACAAATATGTCAAAACATGACCTCAGGGATTTAAATGGATTGAAGAGTTAAACTGATAATACACGTGTAATTAAATATCCAGTCACTGACCACTGTATTGATTTATGACATTCTTTATCCACGAGTGTTTACCTAAGATTATCTTTGATCACCATGATAAATAATTAGTTTTACTTTGTTATAGTTTATGAAAAATAATTCAAAAAGTTTTAAAAACAATTAACTGTAATCATACACTAATGAGCTTGGTTGTGTATAAAGTAGGGAATAAGACTTCTGTTGGTGATCAACTCAAAACTACTCAATCGTGGTCTTTAATCTTTTTTTTTTTTTCTCTGGCAGAAAAGGATTGAAATAAAAGAAAATGAAATGAAATCTAAATTTTCTAAATTTTTTGTATACAAGAATGAACAATTTTGTCAACTTTAAATAACGCTTAGATTGATTGGAAATTACTCTCTCGGCTCAAAAACCACTGGACAAAATTGTAACTGTACATAGAAATAAATAAGAGATGAAAAATGTTATTATAAAAGACCATAACATACAGATACATCGATTTGAGACCATAATATCAATCTCCTACCCATATTCATTTGGATTTATTTTAGCTTTACCAAGCTAAGCACAAGTTGTGTCCCTTGGTCTGTCAAACTTCCGGTTTGAGTTTGAGTTGAACTACGGGTATCTCGAAATATTCCTCTGGTCCGGCGGACTTCAAGATAACGAGAGTCGACTGTACATATATTATATAAATACACAGGAACATAATTATATAAATACACATATAGTATACATCACAGGTGTGCAATACACATTTTATGTAACCCTTTTAATTTTGTCATGTTCTCCATATATAGAAAATTGAAGATTACAAAAGTACTGACCTTTTCATGACAAGTAGAGAATGATATAGATGATCTTTCTTTTCTTTGTAAATTCCTCCGCATCGTAGCACCTGTGTCACACGATAGTAAAATATTAAAAAACCTTATCATTATAATATTCCACTACAAAAAATAAAAAGATTGGAAGCATTTTTAACAATCTGGTCATAATAAAAAAAAAAAGCCAAAAACAGAAAAATCTAATCAACGACATATTACAATGAAAATGTAAGACTTTAAAGAAAGGATGTTTTTTTTTGCAATTAATATAAACCATTAAAGCAAAATGGTGCACATCATCCCGTCCACTTTGAATTTAGAAGCATGTTATAAAAGGTTTTCATCATCAAACTATACATTTAGCTTACATAAAAAAAGAAGAGAAAAGGAAAGCTTAAGAAACATGAACACTTAACACAGAAACAATGATGAGTTTAAGAGTAACAGAAATTATTGCGCAACCTTTTTTTTTTTGGCCATATAGTTTAATGATTTTATCCATGAGATATAAGATTCTTAAAACCACAATTTCTTGAATAAGAGTTCAATTATAATGTGCTAATTTTATTATTAGGCTTACTGTTTCTGGTAATGAATGGAACAATCAAACAAATAAGTTTTTCTAATCTATTTTCAGAATTTCAACAAAATGGTATATGCTCAGATGAGTAAGTTTTTAAAATTGTAAAATTATCTGGAACAAATTATGTTACAGTAAAATCTTTACTTGACAACAGAATATGCAGCAAGAAAATGTGAGCTAATTGCTGCTAATCTTACCGGATATTTTCAGAAATGTCCACAGTTTTGTTTTTTCAGACAAAGTTCGATAGACACTTTCAAATTGAAATCAACAAAAAAACATGTGGAAAAGCCAGATGTTGATTTGGTAAAAGAAATATTCACTCTGTAAAGATTTCTTCACAATTTTTTTTGTTTGAAATCTTCAAGATAGTTAATGATTCTATCTTTACAGGATTGTGTCAGTTGAATATGCGCTTTTAAGCTCACAGGGGCCCGAAGGGCCCCACGTGAGCTTATGCCATCACTTGGCATCCGTCGTCTGTCGTCGTCGTCTGTCGTTGTAAACTATTTCAAAAATCTTCTCCTCTGAAACTACTGGGCCAAATACCTTCAAACCTTAACTTAATCTTGTTTATAAATTGTATCGAAGTTTTGATCCATCGACAAACATGGCCCCCATGGCTAAAAATAGAACACAGGGGTCAAATGCAGTTTTTGGCTTATATCTCAAAAACTAAAGCTTTTAGAGCGAATCTGACATGGGGTAAAATTGGTCAATGGGTCAAGATCTATCAGCTCTGAAATTTTCAGACGAATCGAAAACCCGTTGTTGGGTTGCTGCCACCGAATTGGTAGTTTTAACAAAATTTTGCAGTTGTTTGTTATTATTTTGAATATTATTATAGATATATATAAACTATCAGCAGCAATAATGTTCAGCAAAGTAAAATCTACAAAAAAGTTAATATGACCATAATTGTCAATTGACCCCTTTTAAAAGGAGTTATTGCCCTTTAAACACAATTTTACACAATTTGTTCATCAAGTTTGCTAACATTTAAAAATCTTCTCCTCTGAAACTACTGGGCCAATTACCTTCAAACTTTAATTAAATAAGGGTCAAATGCAGTTTTTGGCTTAAGTTATATCTCAAAAACTAAATCTTTTAGAGCAAATGTGACATGGGGTAAAATTGTATAATTGGTCAAGATCTATCGGCCTTGAAATTATCAGACGAATCGAACAACCCATTGTTGGGTTGCTGCCACTGAATTGGTAGTTTTAACAAAATATTGCAGTTTTTTGTTATTATTTTGAATATTATTATAGATATATATAAACTGTAAGCAGCAATAATGTTCAGCAAAGTAAGATCTACAAAAAAGTTAAATGACCAAAATTGTCAACTGACCCCTTCAGGAGTTATTGCCCTTTAAAGACAATTTTACACAATTTGTTCCTCAAGTTTGCTAACATTTAAAAATCTTCTCCTCTGAAATACAGGTGAGCGATTCAGGCTCTTGAGAGCCTCTTGTTTATTATTCAATGAAAAACAGTTTAGATCTGTTTGAGAAATACTTTTTATATAGAAACCCTGTTTTACAATATAATGGATCACAAATTGAAATATTATTTTGAGAGACTTGACCAATATGCTGATGAGCATTTTATTGTTATGATAAGAAGGGTAACTCTTGATTTTCAGTTTTGGTGTGTGTAAAGAATACATGTTATATTTGAACTAATTACGACATCAATTTTATCAACAAGCAATTGATATGAACAATGTTTATCTTGTAAATAAACTTTTATCAAATGAAAAAAAAAAGTTTCAGTTGAGACCAGAACTTAAAACTAGTCAAATAATATGACCACCTTATAAATGGTAAATGTCAAGCTTTGAATCAGACATCTAATTTTATGATAAAATACATTTCACTGTTTCTAAATATTTTTTTTTAAATAAAAAATAATCAAACAATAGGATTCTCACATGAATTTCACAGGGTTCAAAAATTTCAATGCTTAATACAAACAAAAATAAAAATTTCAGATAGACTTTGTTAGAAATAATTGAAAAAAGCTAATTTCCATTCGTTTTAAAGATTAGAAACAAAGTGATGCATTGACAAATAATATCTTTTAACATTTTGTTTCTTACAAAAGTAGTCCTGAACATGCATGAAATATTTTCCACTGGATGTTAAGCAATCAACAATCAATCAATCCTTAAAGAAAGTAATTGATCTGGTTTAAATATTTATTTTGTTGGAACCATTCAAACTGTTTTCTAGACCTGGAATCCAGACATTTTGTCATATTTCACCATAATATTTATTTTTTATCTATTTTGGATGTAAATGTCAACATTTTATAAGAAAAACATGACAAAGTTTTGGTTTTTTACTATCTCGCATGTTTAAATATTAACTTGAAACAATTCTTGAAATAATAGACCTAATATTTAAGTCTTAAAAGGACCCTTACTTCATCTACAAAAAAATGCCTGGTATCAGATATTTTACATAATTTTAGTTTCCTGTAAAGGAGTAGGGGCATTAAGGCTCGGTTCGGCGCAAGAAAATAAAGTTATTGAGAACTATTTCAAATTTGCACATAATGTTTGGAAATGCATAAACTCAAGAAATAAAAATGAATAACATAAGATTTTTGATGATATGATGTCATAATCAGTCATAAAATGCAACCAATTTCATGAAAACAAAGAAAACTGCTAAGTTTATGCAGTTTTCAGTTATCATTTCCATTATGGAAACATTGTTTGCAGGCAAGAAACAACAAAATAATTGAAGAGAAGCTTTATTATACCAATTGACTTATTCTAACCAAATATAAAGTTGTTTCTTAGTTGCGCACATACTTTCCCAATCTAATATATACCTACAGGTTGGCGTAAAATAAGGAAAATCAAGACATTTTACAGAATACACATTTTGTCATAGTTTGTTGCAATGGTAACTAGTAAAATATGAAATTTGTTTTTATTTTTGAACACCTTGTACCTTAATAGTGTAGTTTGGACAAAGTTAAGAATATGTATGGTAACTTTTCAATTTGCAATAATGACTGGGCCTAATAAGGGCCTTATTGCCCCTACTCCTTTTCAAGTGAAATTATTTTCATAAGAAAGACAAAACATCAAAATATAAAACAATGTATGATTAGAATTTATTTTCAACTCTGCTTTACATTTTTGTCGCAGAAAGCTCGACATAGGGATAGTGATCCGGCGGCTGCGGCGGCGTCGGCGTTAGCTTACTTCTTAAAATCTTTATATTTTAGAAGGTGGAAGGTCTGGATGTTTCATATTTTGTATATGGATGCCTCATGTTACGAAGTTTCCGTCAGTCACATGTCCAATGTCCTTGACCTCATTTTCATGGTTCAGTGACAACTTGAAAAAAAAGCTTAGATTTTTTGTAATGTTCAATTCTCTCTTATTATGGGTAATAGGATAACTATACTTGGTATGTGCGTACCTTGCAAGGTCCTCATGCCCGTCAGACAGTTTTCACTTGACCTCGACCTCATTTCATGGATCAGTGAACAAGGTTAAGTTTTGGTGGTCAAGTCCATATCTCAGATTCTATAAGCAATAGGTCTAGTATATTTGGTGTATGGAAGGACTGTAAGGTGTACATGTCCAACTGGCAGGTGTTATCTGACCTTGACCTCATTTTCATGGTTCAGTGGTTATAGTTAAGTTTTTGTGTTTTGGTCTGTTTTTCTTATACTGTATGCAATAGGTCTACTATATTTGGTGTATGGAATGATTGTAAGGTGTACATGTCTAGCTGGCAGGTGTCATCTGACCTTGACCTCATTTTCATGGTTCAGTGGTCAAAGTTAAGTTTTTGAGTTTTGGTCTTTTTTTCTAATACTATATGCAATAGTTCAACTATATTTGGTGTATGAAAATATTTTATGTTCTATTTGTCAGTCACGCAGGTTTTTTTTTACCTTGACCTCATTTTCAAGGTTCATTGCTCAGTGTTAAGTTTTTGTGTTTTGGTCTGTTTTTCTTAAACTATAAGCAATAGGTCAACTATATGTGTTGTATGGAAGAATTGTTAGCTGTACATGCCTACCTAGCATGGTTCATCTGACCTTGACCTCATTTTCATGGTTCATTGGTCAATGTTTAGTTTACTTGGTGAATGTTAAGTTTATGTGACAGTTGTAATAAAGCTTTATATTTAGGACTATCAACATAATATCAATGATTAGTAAAGAAGGCGAGACATTTCAGCGTGTGCACTCTTGTCATGTCAATCTCATCAAAATGTTTTTCAGGATTAGCTAGTTGTTATACTCATCTAGGAACATGTTTGTCAGGAGGAACTATAGACAGAGATGAAACTTCAGTCAGGATTAACAAGTAGGTCACAGAAACCTTATTTGTGCATGTTTTTGATATTTTAACACACTTCAGTTTATTTTCTACACTATGTTTGTTCTAATCTACTCAGAATTTGAATATGACTTGATTGCAGTTTTGCTTAAACTTAACTCTGGAAAAATGTATGAACATAACCTATAGGTTGCACTTTGTAAATACAGTTGTTTCACAAACCACACCTCTTTTGGGGAGATAAATAATATTCATAGATATTTTGTTTTGTTTAAGTACTGGTTCTCAGATATGATCTCCATGTTTCATCTCAAAGAGACATGACTTGGGAATGTTACCAGTTTAAAAACATATGGTAGCGGCGAAAATTGAATTCTGAGGAAGACCCAAAGTGAAGGAAGGGGTAGTACAGAATTTTAGTATAAGTTTAAACTCTTAGAAGTTCAAGACATATAAATGTTGAAAATATGCTGCACAGCCCTATGTTTTGACCTTTGAATAAAATAGTAGCGCATATCAACTTTCTATTCTAGGATATAATTTTTTTTTCGAAACTTCATAGTTAAAGTGGCACAGTTTTAGCCGTAAAGGGAGTTCCTATGGGAAATTGCATTGTCTATATTTTCAGAAGTGCAACCTATAGTTGGCATTTATGTATGTTTTCATCCATCCGCTCGGCGATATATATTAAATTTTCTGGAATTACGCCCCATTCTAGAATCCTAAATCCACCCCTGGTACAGGATGAATATCAAAGACGCTACCTGATGATGTTATCCTGGTCTAACATCTTAAAGGGGAGATAATCAAATTCATTTACTTCAATATATGAATAGTATTTCAGGAAAAGGGGTATCTTTTTATGTGTTCATTTACGAAGTTCAAAGTTCTTATTTTATTATACAATTAAATTTATAAGTTTACATGCATGTTTCCATGGTTATTTTTCACTTTTTTTAAGTTTTTCAGTTTTCTTCATGTTACATTTGAAAGAATTATACCTTAACACATAACTCATAGAATGTACCGAAATACAAATTTTCATTATTGTTTTATATAATTTTACAATAAATGTGCATGCACAAAACACAACTCTTATTAAAATCACGATATTCTTGACAGGAACTATATTATCTTTATTCTTTATATATATTCACTTACTACATATATACCATGTCAATAGCCTGAGAGATGATAATTGTTACAACTTTAAAAAATATAATTACTTTTAAAACAGTTGTCCAGAGAAGCGACATAGCTTATACATTTATACATTTATACTTATAAACTTATAAACTATACTTGGACTTATACTACATAGGAACATATTTTATATTGGGTTATCTCAAGTTTACCAGAAAAAAATCCTAAATAAAAAATAACCAAATTATAAATTATTTCAAATGCATTATATGAATGAGAGACAGGTCGGAGATATTTAAGTAAAGTATAATGGTGGGTTTACATGGTATAACTGTCCATCTGATTTCCATTTGATTTTTTTACCTATAATGTTGTTTTGACAAAAGCCGCGCTGTTTGAACACTAAAATTGGATGTCATTTGGTTAATCAAATGGAAGGCATGGTATCGTGTGAATAGAATGCTGTATCATTTACCTTGGCAACAGTACAAATGTAAAGAAAAGTCGCATGGAAAATTATAATGTATAAAGGTACTTTATGTTATGTTGCTTTTCTGGACATCTCTATTAGATGTTATTATGCAAAAATGTTGAATGCATAGTAGATTAATGAACTATTCAATGTTAGGTATTGTAATGAGAAATGCACAGTTATTGTAAATTTACAGCATTAACTTTAGTTTTGTTCTTTAGATATCTGGGAAAACTTGGTGAAGGCTTAGAAAGTGCTAAGGTATAAACTATTTCTAAGAGCTCACCCTCTGCTAGGCTTCATTGATATTGCAGTGAGTTTTATGTTCTGGAAACAGCAGTTTTAAACATTAGTTAATATTGCATGGCCAGTTTATCATAAAAAGCACATAAATGTAGTTTAAAAGTGATATAAATGTTTAACAACTAGTAGATTAGATTCACATAGCCAAAATGAAACACAATTGAAATTTAAGTGATATCTATAGTTCCAGTTTTTTATGCTCTAGTTGCTCAAACAATCGTTTTGAGCTATATTTTACCATTGGCCTTCTTCATCTTTCATCTTTCATTCTTTATCCTTTTGCCACTTTTTCTTCTACAAACTTTATAAAATTCTGCTTAGCTGAAGCTAGTTGACCAATTTGAACCAAAACTGAATGCAAAATAATTTGTAAAAATTATATATGATCAGGCTAGCTACACTTTTCGACAATGCCAACAATTCTGCTCCATCTTTTGTTGCAGGACATCACAATATGCAGACTATAAAGATCATGATTCAGGAAAACTCATGAAATAATGAGTTAAATCATGCTTTTTGTTTATTTTGTTAAATATTTTGTTGTAACTTTGGGGATATTGTGTTTTATGGAGACATCAAATATCACTATAAAACACCATGTGATTGTTGTCTACCAATCACCCTTATGAAACAGCTATATCATAAATGTTTTATTATCACAAAATGAAATCAATTTGTTTGGCTTCTGTTGTAATGTTAAAAAAACCACAATTTATAACTTGTTTTTAGGGCAATATAAAGAACATTTCAACTTAAAGGAATTTTTCTTGCATACATGCAGTAATGAATTATGAAAAGAATTTAATATACCCTTGCCTTTATAAACAAAACAGTAAGCTATTGAGAGTTTAAGAGCAGTACCAATTAACATTGGAGTCACTTAAAGATCCTTTGTCTGTACCTACCCTGTGCCTTGACCTGTGTTAGTTGCTCATTTTGCCAAAAAAATTATCCTTTGAATAGCCTTAGAAATGTGAAGAAATTTGCTATCTATAATAATCTTCTACTATTTATAGCAAATGAATGTGTCAATTTAACAGAGATGAAGAAATCAAGGCTCCTAAGTTATTGAATATTAATGTTTTGTGCCTTTTTTATTTGGAAAAAAATCATGAATCTATTAATAATCAGAATTTTGTACTTTGTACTTATTAGTAATAAATTAAATTTGTTTTTTTTTTATTGGATTTGAATTTTTCAGAGTAAAATACTTTTAAAATTTATAGTTATTTTATTATTATATTGATACTTTTGCTCTACTTTCTATATATATAGCATGGTTTAGAGGTATTAAGTGCCAATGACGAGAAGACTGTTGCCTTTCAGTTAGACCTGTTTGCACGGTATATGGATGCAGTAAAGGTAAATTATGAACAAACACGTTTTTTGACAGCTGATCAAGTGTTGACTTATGTCATTATTTGATATCTGATATTCTTAAAGTTTCACATTGTCATCCTCTTTTTGAATTATTTTTGAATGGTGTTTGAAAATTCTCTATAATGATTGCTCTTTTCATTTTGTGCCTATGAAAAAAAGAATGGCAGTTGGAGGCAGTTCTTTATTCATATTGGTTACTTCTGCTTCTCCTCTAGATTTTGTTAAAGTTTATCAATATCATGGTAGTTTGAAGACTATGAAGATTACACCTGTTTAGCTGATATAAGAGCATGCATTACTCAAATAATGCCACATAGACACATTTTGCAGCCTAATTGTTAATGCATCCTGTAAATTCAGATATGAATCCTTGCATTTGTTTTTGCAAATCCTTAAGGACAATTTAAATGCAATATTAGTTGTGAGATATAAAACCATGTGATAATATAACATTATGAAACAATATATAATTGTCAGTTCTAATAATGCAATAAACATCATTTGACTCTTTCATATTAGTTGCATTAGTGTTACTAAAACAAAACACAAAGAAAAATTGTAAATTATATGCAAGATTTATAACCTCTTAAGTTTTATATTTCAAATGTGCACAATCACTAAAAGAGTAATTGGCAGGGGTTTAAATAAGCGGTGGTCCAAGGTCCGTGGCCTTCCATTAAAGAGTTCAGACTTTCCCTCGGGTAGTTAGTTACACCCGACAGACTTTCGTATATTTGCGGGTTGAAAAGTTACAAAAGCATTTTGAAAAAAAAATATATTTTTAAAAATTTAGTATAGAAATAATCTTAAAACATGCAATTTTATAGAAAGAAAATTATATGTTTGCTTAAATTCTTCGCAATTGATTTGATGTGTAGTCACATGACTGGTCATTGTACAAAATACCAGGAAACTTGAGAATATAATGTTAAAACATAACTAGTAAACGGTATGAGTCTGTTTGGTTTTGGAATGACCTCTTCCAAAAGAAAACCTGATAAAACTGGGGATACAGCATGGGTGATTGATGAAACGACATAATGCAGCCCGAAAAAACATGATCTGACTAAAGACCAAGACCAAAAATATGACAGGGAAAAACAAGAGCGAAAATCTTCCCCACATATAGTGAAAGGGAAAGTGCCCTGGTTCATTGGACAAAAAAACTTAAAACTTGACCCTATAAAAAGATCATGATGAAAAATTACCACCCAGCATCTATATATCTTGCTAAAAGTGGTTAAAAGAAACTGACCCCAAGTTTTGAAACGAAGTTGAACTGTTGTCTGACACAAAGTTAGGTAAGTGTGTTCCTAAGCAGCAATTGAAACCAAAACAGTTAAAAAGGCACAAAGTGTTATTTAACACAGCGTATAGTGTTGGAGAAAAGGGAAACCCTCTTATTACTGAATTTATCTAAGAAATTCAGAAAAAAAATGAAGTTAATGTAGTAAGATATTATGAATGTGTTGGAATGTTAAGCATTTTCTGTTTTTTTAAATTGAATTTTCAATAAAAATTGGACCTTCTAAGAATAAAGGAGGACCTTTGAGTATTTTTGGTCAAAGGTCATGTAAAGGTTTTTTTTTTTTAAATTCAACTGTTAGACTAAATCTTATGTGTATGTATTGCTAGATGTATTGTTTTTATACGCCCATTTACGGGACGATATTATGGTTTACCGTTGTCCGTCCGTCTGTCCGTCAGTCGTCAACATGTCGGACATTAACTCAAAAATGCTTTAACCAATTTGCATAAAACTTTGGTGAATTGTTTATATCTATTGACGTGAGCCCCCTTTGTTTTTTATAAATTTTAGATTTTACGTTTCCGAGTTATGGGGTTTTATTCATTAAAAAAAGGGGGGTTTTCCAGTTTTCGGACAACAACTCAAGGATGCTTTCACCAACTTGCAAGAAATTGTGGTGAATTGTTTATATCTATTGACATGAGCTCTCTTTCGATTTTTATATATTTTAGATTTTACGTTTCCGAGTTACATGGTTTTATTCATAAAAAAGGGAGATTTTCCAGTTTTCGGACAAAAAATCAAAAATGCTTTCAGCAGTTCTTATGAAACTTTGGTGAATTGTTTATATCTATTGATGTAAGCTCCATTTAGAATTTTATAAATTTTACATTTTACATTTCTGAGTTATTGCACAACAGCAAGAAATCTTTAATTGAATATAATTTCAATTCATATAACCAATTTCAAGTTCTTTGACTACATTAATTTATTCAGAAACCTATAATATGTCAAATATTTAATACAATCCAAATTCAGACCTGTATCAAGCTTGAATATTGTGTCCATTTTTGCCCCAACTGTTCAGGGTTGGACCTCTGCGGGTGTATCCAGCTGCGGTCAGCGAAGCAGTTTATTAAAGTATAATAAGAATAATTGTATATTTATTTCATGTTTATAAATATATTAGCCTGGAATAGGAATAGATTTTGTTTTAGTCCATTTTTCTAGAAATGTGTTGACAACTTTTTCTATCATTTTTCATAATTTCATATGGCCAACCCTAACCCATTGAAATTTTTGTTGAAAAGTAAAAAATATTGTACATAAAATTTTTTTTAAAAAGACAAATTTGGTGCCACTGTTAACTTTTTAGAAAACTGTCATAAAATTTGACAAGTTATGCAAAAATCCGGTTTCAACGATATTCACCTACATTTAAGAAGTCACAAATGCATCACTAACATGACTAATGACACAATTGGTTGAAAATTTGTTTTAACTGAAACAATTGGACATTTTAAAATATGTTTTCATCAAATATTCATAAGATATTTGCATTTGTTTATAAAAAAAAAATGTGATTTGGTTTAACTTTTATAAAAACAGGAAATGTTGTTCAGAAGAACGTGTTTACTGGTGGAGTATGAAGATGCATGTAAGGCTTTAGAAAAAGCAAAACCTAACAAGAAACAGGCAGTGAGTATTTCAACTTTTTTATGTATATAGCATATCTACCCAACAAAGTGTATATTAAAAGATAAAGCCAAAACATTCCTAGCATTCACATCTTATGGACTTTGAACGAGGGGCAGTAGGAATCTGGAATTCCCTTAAAAAAAATCATTCTCTCCTGGATCTCGAGAAATTGCTCATAAATTCACTAGTCCTGATAGGTGTGATTCCGGTTAAAGATAAAGGCCCAATTCCTTCGTCCATAAAACGTCCTTTCGCCCCTCATATGTCTGCTTTCATCTATTGATTTCTTAAAGGGAAGTAACTCTTTTTCCTTTAATTTCTTAAAGGCAGAAGAAACCAAAGAGAAAGCAGAAAAATTGTATGAAGAATGCACAATTAATGCAAGAAAAGAGGTAAATTTATACAAATCTGCAGGAATATTTTAGGAATCATCTTTATATTTGTTGTGTGTAATATATTTAAGTTGAATTATGTCAAGTTTCATAATTTGAGGAGTAAAAAAGATGTTTCGTATGCCTGAAAATGAATTACTTTTGATCATCATCAGCAATATCAAATTTAAACACTTTTGAAGAATAAACACCTTCCTGTTCAGTGTAAAAATAAGGAGATGTGATATATGCAATGAGACAACTATTCACTTAAAACCAAAAGTCGTGGATACCAACTGCTATAATAGGTTTATATTTTTCCTTTTAATTATAATCTTGTTTCTTTTTATTTGGAGGGGGTATTTATAGTTAAGTCAACATGTTGTTTCAAGCAATGTTTATGTATTTTTACTTTGAAGTATATTTTTTTTATTTTGCTAATTTTTATTAATTAAAATTTCATGGAAAAATCAATACCATGAACTCTTATACAGAAAAATTTAATCAGTGTCGTATAAAGTAAAATAACAAAAATACCGAACTCCGAAGAAATTTCAAAACGGAAAGTCCCTAATCAAATGGCAAAATCAAAACCTCAAACACATCAAACGAATGCATACAAACTGTCATATTTCTGACTTGGTACAGGCATTTTCCTATGTAGAAAATGCGGACTAAACCTGGCCTTAAAGCTAGCAAAACCTCTCACTTGTATGACAGTTGTATAAAATTCCATTATATTGACGACAATGTACATTAAAAGATATACTTGCACAGTACATGTTTGATTATAAGGATGTTTTTCTGTGGGACTGTTCTCTCATTATAATTTATCTTATCTGAGATTTGAAAATTATCCTTTGCAGTTGAAGACATTCCTACGAAACAGACTAATATCCTTTGAAGATTGTTTGTCAAAGTTTGCAGAATCCCAAATAAAGACGGCAAGAGATACATATACCTTACTTGTGAGATCACTTACTGAAATCAAACAAATGGATTAATGTCTTATTGTTGCAAAAACTGTTATATTTAATTTATTTACGAACAAAAGATATACAACGATTATGACTTTGGAAACTTTTTTACACAATTTTGGTCATGTTTTGAGGACCTGAAAGTCATTATTATTTTTTTTTCTCAAAATCAAGTTCAAAGCAGAAATCACGACATAAAAAAACCTGGTTAAGCAGTTTAACAGACTAGACCAAATTGAATGTTTGTTATTTGGAAATACATTGTTACATGCAAAAGTTTAAGATTGATATGATTTTATTGACTGTTAAAAAATTGCAAATTCCTCAGGAATTGATGGCATGCTACTTTCGATTTTGAGAAATGAAATATAAACAGGAAGTCAGAAGTTCAAATTCTAAAATTTCAAATGAATGAATTTATTTTGACAATACTAGGTTGTTTTTGACAGTTTCAAATGGCACTAAATCTTTGTGTTTTTAAATTTTGACTTGTAAAAAGGTTTTTATATGACTGATAACCATTTAAATTATTTTTGTAAATTAGCATGAAAGTATGGCATATTTTACAATAAAAGGTTGTACTTGTTAAGAAAAGGGGGGAGTTTGATGCTTGCATATTGTGCTGAAAACAAAGCAAATGAATAATCTTTTAACAAGGAATTTGAATATTATACAATTTTTATTTTACAATATAAATTGACAATTGCTTATTCTAAAAATTTATTAAATACTGAAGAAAATTTCCTGTTTTTAGTTGATGAATCCTTAAATATTGTTGTATTTTTTTAAAAACTAAAATTTAGTAGGAAAAAGACACTTACGGGGAATCAATTGATATATAAAATATAGTTTTTAAAGTGGTGTAACATCACATTTTCTATGAATTATCAGGGTACAAAAAAGTATTTTGCAGGTTATATAAAATTTATATTTTGACATCACTAGTAAATAAATAATAAGCTCTCCTTTTAAATGGCAAATTGCCTCAGTTGAGTTAAAGGCCCTAAAAATGGGACAGTACCATTGGTTGTTTATCTATATATATTTTAATAAATAAATTAGTGTATTTCTATTTGTAATGTTTTCAGAACGCTTAATTTGTAGGTATTAAAAAGTACTAATTTTAGTGCAATTCTAGTCATATTTTGTATATGTTATAACGTTACTCAAAAAGCTTTACATTAATATATTTTTATTATAATAGTTTTCAATTGTTTCTGTTGAGAACAGATTTGTTTGTTTTAAGACAGTTATTTGTCTATATAGTGTCTATTTGATTTTATCTTAATTTATCTAAACACATAACATATGAAAAGATACACGCACATACAAATACTGAGAAATTTTCATTATGGGTATCTTAAGTTTTGTTTATATTGGGAATAAATATTAACCATGAAATAAAAACCATAACCAAATTTTAACCAACAAAGAATAATACTTTCACATACTGGAAACCGTTAGAATTAATCCTCTTGAAAACAAACCGACTAAACCATGAAGTTTTAACTCTATGAAAATAGATATTTCTATAGTAGCTGATTTCACAGATTATGTTTACGTTTTTTTTCCTGTTAACTATAAGAAAATTTTTCTTAAAGTTTAAAGTAAAATTTTCAACCAGAATTTTGATTAATCAATTTGTTTACAGTTAACGATAGCGATTTGTATTATTGGATGATTGCTTCAATCTACTTATTGTCATAATTGTATATAAAAAGATTAAGAAAGGACATCTTTAAATCATGATTGCTTTTCTCCAAAATTATAAAGAAATAATAAAAATGCATGATAGTGACTAATTTTAAATTCAGAAGAAAGTAACTTCCATAATAGTTGATAGTCAGACAATAAATGAAAAAGAAGTGTAATTGAAAAAAAATAATTAGATTTTATGAAATAATCATATAGAACAAAAATAAGCATTTTTCTTTATAACCTATATTTAGCAGAAAAATAATCTGGGTTCAGTTTTTTTACAGAAAGTATTTGTTGCACTAGTGCAAAAAGCATAAAAAACATTGATTTCTTTAAAGTCTATTTAGATTAAATGTGTTTGCAAAAAATCTGTCTTTATAGCAATTCATCAATACATTAATATATTTACAATATTCAAATATCATTCCAGAGATATATTTGACATTCCATATGTAATTTTGATATTCCTTTGCTTTAACATGTTTATGTATACAATTCTACACTATTTGTTCTAAACATTGTGCAATTAAATTGTATTTTATAACAATTCAATAGTTAATAAACTGTGATTTTATTTTTGAGACATCTACTTACTTACTTACTTACTTAGGCCCTTGGCTCCTACGGGGAGCATAGGCCATTGGTGAAATGTACGTAAATGTTTCTGTAACAAGGCGAGATAGTTGGTCTTGCACTCAACCCCCAAACTGGAGGGCCAGGAATTTTGTTCTCGAGGTATCGTTTTTCTAGATAAGCTGTCTGCCAAGACTTATGAGCCTTATCTTCAATTTTGAACCTACCAATGCTTGGGCAAATAATGACTTCAATGAATATAAGGCTCCTTGAAAACGATACTTGTAGACTTAAGCCGTCTTCATACATGGTAGCCAGTGAAAAAAGAAATGCACAAAAATCGGTATGAAGTTCCAGTTATGATCCATACTGGTATCTTGAAAAGTAATCCTTATTTTGATGGTCACACATATCCGTTTTCTGGTTCTACTGAGGAGTCACCTGTAAACTCAATTTTCTACAATCAAATAAACAATTGGTAACGGCAAGTCTTCAAATACAATACTGTAATTTTTATAAATACCTACAAAAAAGTTGGTTTAAAGAGTCTTTAAATTAGAGGCAACAAAAGTTTAACACTAGTACAAAGCAGTTTTTATATTTATATTACATATACCTATACTCGTCCATGTATGCATTTAATTTGTCTCTGGACGTATCAACCTGCCATCATCATCATGCCAAAAAAGTGTTTAAAAAGAGGAAGCAAGATTGGACTGAAGGTACAAAGCTAAAAAATTGCTATAAGGAGACAAAATTGGAAGTCTTCATTATCCCATAAGTAAAAAATAACAAAAATATCAGTCTGAAACTTAAGACACCAAACGTTGCTAAAGAGCCTGTGTTGCTAACCTAGTCTATATGCATCTTCAACAATGGACATTGTAGACTTAGAATATAATTCATGATAAAAATCTTATTTTTTGTTGATCTTGTATTGCTGATAAATTTTTCTGTTTACCGTTTTTCTCTTTCTCCTTTAGTTTCACTTAAAAGGGTAAAAAGAAGTCGTCATTTATGGGAAATAGCTCTTATGAAGAGTCTACTAGAGTTTCTGTTAGAATTTAACTAATTTGTAGATCTTGTCTTGCTGATCATTTGATTATATTAAAAGTGTCTATCTATCTACTATATTTTTCAAGATAATCGGCAAAAGCACAAAATATTAGGAGGAACCTCTTGAAATAGCGATAAATCCAATAGTGAGTTGACCGACAATTTTGGTCATTAGATTTATTTTTTTCAGTTTTGCTTCTTAAAGTTTCTTTCTATCTACTATAGTTTTCTAGATATAGTTTGAAAACATGAAAAAATGGTATAATCATTTATTAAATGGCAATAACTCCGTTAAGAAGTCGTCTGAGAGTTATGATGTAAGTAGATCTCTGAACATTTTTGCCATGTTTTTTCATTTTATAGGGGTTTTCAAGATAATGGACAAAACTTTAATTTTACCCCTTTATGTTCTATTTTTAGCCATGTCGCCAATGTTGGTTGGACGGAGGAGTCATCGGACAATATTTGTAGACTAAATACCCTATTATTGATCGTGGACAATTTTAATAAAATTTCAGAGAAGATTTTTTATTAAAGTTATCGGACAATTACGACGACAACGGAGGAAGGACGCCAAGTGTAGCTCATGTTGTGGGCCAAGAGTGCTTAAAGGGGGTTAAAATTTTGATAAAATCTAACTGAACCCCTTAGTATAGCCCTGACATGACAGTTTTTTGACAATTATTTTGCGTTTTTTGTCTGATTTCTCATAACTGTTAAAGACTGATAGAAACTTTAAATATATAAAGAAAAATGATCAGCAAGACGATATCTTAAAATATATCTCGTTTGAGAAATTGTAAGTCAACTACTTTTTGGGTAATTGCTCTTTAATGACGATTTTTACAAATTTTTTGTGTGTTTTCCTCTGATCTTGAATCTATTAAAACCAGAGCGACTTAGGTAACCAACACAGTTATCCACAAGGCAAAATCTACAAATAAGTTGATATTGCTCTAATAGTTGGTCAACTCGTTATAAGTAAGTGCCTTTAAGTCCCATTTTTAACCAATTTTTTGCGTTTTTACCTGTTGGAAACTATAATAAACAGATGGAAATTTGAATAACAAAACAAGATCCACAAGTTAAGATCTATAATTAAGTCAACATGGCAGATATCGTTAGTCGAATCCTTATTGGAGTTATTGCCCACACATGACAATTTTAACTATGTTTTTTTGGTATTTATAATAATAAGAAGATAAGGTATAATTGCTAATAAGACAAATCTGGACCAAATGACATTGAAGTGAACAACTAGAGGTCACCGTACAGTCTTACAACAATGATCAAAACCCATACTGCATAGTAAATCATAAAAGGCCCCAAAATGACAAATGTAAAACAATTCAAACGAGGAAACTAACGGCCAGATTTATGTACAAAACAATAAACGAAATACAAATATGATATACTACAAAAAACGACAACCACTGATTTACAGGCTCCTGACTAAGTACTGACACATACATAATGATGATAAAATAGATATCTTATGTAGAGAATTTAAGGGTAGACCTATGATTTCGCTGATCAATAGATTGTTACAGAGTGGTTGCTACACTCACTGACGCGGTTGTCTTACCACCAAAGTCAGAAGTTTATTAATGGCAAGTTTTGTTTAGCTGAAGGTCAAAATTATACGTGCTGATCTTTTTAAGAAGCAAATGAAAATGCCGTAAACGACATGTTATTTTGACTGCTAGATTGTTGGTAAGTTCGATGAAAAAAGTGGAAACTAAAATAGATGGACGATTTCGTTGTTGACTAGATTGTGTACATATGATTTTTTTTAAATTAAGGTCATGCGGGACGCCTGTCTTTTGAGGCGTGGGTTATGTGATGATTTTGTATCTTAGGTTCGATAGTTTACCTTAGTTACAGTTCGACAGAAGCCTTATTTTATGTATTTGTATATATTTCAATAAAAGATAGAAAATATATTTGGCGGGTATAAACCTTGGGTAAGGTCAAATGTGAAGGGGTGATCCAGTGGAAACTCTTAATACGAGTAATGATGCACTTTGGAAGAACACCCCCTCCTTCAAGAATGGTACGACTACCATTGTGGTATATAAGCAGGAACGATTCCTTGCTCTTTGTCATTCGTCTAAAGTCTACGAAGACGATGGCCATGATACGTACGGTACGTGATTATTAGAGATTGTTTTCTCTAATATGGAATGGCATTTATGATTGTAATGGAACAAAGAACAAGGTTGGTGCCTGTTCTTTAAGATTTGTACAACTTGTAGATTGTCAAGTATGAATTTTCCCGTATAAGACAAGTCATAGCTTGTAGGGTACTTAACTGTACCATTTGGACAAGTTTGTCCCTGACTAAAGACAAATTGGTATTTGTACAGATTTGTATCATTTATATATATTTTAGTTCAATGACGTAATTTGATGGGTATAACTTATTTGGTGAATAAGTTATATACTTTGTAAATAGAAATTTCGGATCCAGTATCAAACTGTTTTAAGCATAAATAGAAAATTTTAAAAATGATCAGCAATACAAGATCAACCAAAAAAAGATTTTATCCTTGAATTATATTCTATCTACAATATGAATAGTTTTCTATGTTGTGTTTTGTGTACTGCTGTTTGTCTTTCGTTCCTCTTTCTTTTTTTTTCCAAGGCGTTGTCAGATCTTTTCGACTTATGAGTTAGAATATCTCTTTTATATCTTTCGCTTCTCTTCTACAATGTTGGATAGTGTCCATTGTTGATATGCACAGACCTAATTAAGCAAAACGGGCTCTTTAATTAGAGCCTTTAGTTAAAATATTGACCAGTAGATTCTTTGTCCGGGTTGGGCATTACGTTTTGTCCTTTAATATTGTATCAGCTATTCAACGTTTGTAATAGGGTTTTGACTTTCAAATATTTTAGCGTTGAACATTAATTGGCGAGATGCACGTAAAAACAAAAACAAAAACTTCTCGTTCAATCTTACCTGTAAAGAAAGTTTATTACCCGGAATCACAATAGAGTAGCTTTGATCTTTAATAAGATAATGAACTTTCAATGACATTTTAAAACGCAGTGTACTATTTCTAGGAAAGTATGCGTGGTGTTTAGAACCTATCTTTACAAAGTAAAATTATGAAGGACTAACAACAGACATGTCACATTGCAACTGGTGGATCTCCAAGAGGCTTTTGGATACTCTCAATGACAGCTTTCCAAAATAAGTCCTCCCCTACTCCATCTTTATAGGTCAGGTATGGAGTTGTCTTTATTAAAGTTTTGACAGGACATGTCATATGATTAGAGTTAATTGTTTTCAACATGATTAGTAAAAAAACATCTTTTCCTTGTTGACGCCTGCGTTCCTGCAAAAAATCCACCTCCCACTGACACCACTCGCTTTTAGCGAAATCATTGCTCATAATTACTATAATTTTCCAGCATTTTTGTAAATAAGTGTCTATGTTTTCTGTTATTGATGCACCCACATCGAAGTCCCGATGATGAACACACAGCTTGAGACCATCATCTTCGAGTTTTCTCAGGAAAATATTATGAACCCATTTCCTATCAGCGTCACAGTAAACTACAAATGCATGATATTCGAAATCCTCGCTACTGTTTAGACGTATGTAACCCCGTCGTTTTAGTCTGTGTATTCTAAACAGATAGAAATAATTACGGATATTTGCGTGGCATCGGTATGCCATAACTATTAGAGTAAATATTATAAATGCAAAAAATGACAAAATAATCGCCGTAGTATATAATTGATTCCAAGGAGTGCATATGTCGTTGGTTGGGTTATATTTTATCAAAAATTTTCCATGCATATTCTCCGGATAAATGCATTTGTACCTGTGTGGATAGTTAGACAATTTTGGTCGGTTTTTATTTTTATTTCTTAACCAATCACGAAACCACATAAGGTCACATGTACACGAGAAGTGATTGTTCGAAAGGTCGAGCGTTTTCAGCCTCATTAACAGTTCCTTAGGAAAAGAGGACGAGTTAATCAACTGAATATAATTCCCTTGGAGATTTAGGTATTGTAAATTTGTCATATTTTCAAATGTTTCTTCTTTCCAGTCACGCAAGTAATTCCCTTGAAGAATCAAGCTTTGAAGTGATGACATCAAGTGAAAAACGTTCGTTGGTAATTTCTGCAGATATGTTGAAATGAGATTCAGAGAAGTCAGGTTTTGTAAATGACTAAACATTTGACGTAACAAATGTTTGTTTTCTGATTGTAAAAAGTTATCTGTCAAATCTAAATGTGTTAATTTTGGGACGTGTTTAAATATATTATTTGGATCAAATCGTCGATCATCATCAAAATGAAATCCGTTATGTCCAAAATTTAGCCTTTGCAATGATAAACTTTGAAAAGCATTTTTCTCAATTTTTTTGAATTTGTTGTATTGAATATGTAATTTGGTCAGCTGAGGTATGCCGCTAAATGTATCGTTCAACAAGGCAGTCAATCTATTACCATTCAGATGGAGGGTTGTAAGTGACGGCAAACATTTGAACATGGTCGGTGTTAGTTCAGAAAGAGCATTGTCGTTTATGTATAATGATTGAAGTGTTTGCAGTAGACTTGTCCCGTCAGTGCTGTTACAAAAACTCGATAGACGAACAATATCGTTCCCATTAACAATTATTTGTTTCACATTAACAGATTGCGTCACATCAAGTGTGATGACTTTATTTTCTGAGATATCTAGTCGATCCAAGTTTACAAGATTTGCAACTTCGGCGAAAGAAAATTCTCGTAATTTATTCTTAGAAAGACAAATTTTCGTTATATTTTTAAATTCTTTTGCATCGAACATGCCAGTAGGAACATAAGTCCAGCCATTTTCCATCAGGCTAATGTTTTCCAGAGTAGCTTCTAATTTAATTAATGCCTTTTTGACATCGGAAATATTCAATGACTTCTCTCTTGATATAATGAGGCTTTTCAAAACTAGCAAACCAGAAAAAGCGTCCTCGTATAGAATTCGAATTGCATTAGAGGTAAGGATTAGAGATGTAATGTTGTTTTTCGTTAAGTTTGACATAAATTCCCTGTTGATAATGTGAAATTTGTTGTTAGTAAAATTTATAGATTTGACATATTCTGGAAATCTCGGTATGTACGTGAGCTCAGAACAAGTAGCTGATCCTTTATCATGTTTATTTTGTTTACATCTACATTTTTGGTCACATGATGTACAGTCGTAATAAATGCACATGAAAACTAACATCATATACGTTTTTTTATTAGCCATTTCAATCTGTAATTAAAAAAAAAATAAAGTAGTACAGTGAAAATATACGGAAAATATTTTTATACCTTTTTTTCTTCAAATATATGCTTGTGTCTATGATATTTTTAATTTGTAGCCATCAACATACAAATACTTCTTCCTCTGAGAGTGATGTTTAATGAATTTTTTAAAGCATGTCAAAGCTAGAAGTTTGAAACAAAACAATTTTCTGTCAAAACTATGTACAGGGAAACCCATACCGATATACAACGATAAACGTACAACACGTATTTCCTTTGCCTTCACCAAACGTTATTGTACTTGAGATATCCAATTCAAAAGTGTGTTACAACAATTAAATCTTTAGGATCTCAAAAGTCTGAACGCTGTGTTTCAACGTCTTGCTATATAATAATTGAGAATACTTTTCTAAAATTTTCTCTATGTATGGCTTTGTAAATATCTGTTACCGATCCCAGAAATATCCCATCAAGGACTTATCGGCATTCAGACCATTTGTACAGAAAATTGCTGTTTAAACATTGTTTTTATCAACAGAGGTCTTTTACAATATACATGTAATTCACCATTAATCAGTCAAATATCCTGCTTGCAGATGTCCAATTTCGTCATTCATATATATATAATCAAGATGATCATGGTATTACTTTGTACCTTGTCAATAACATTTAAGACTCTCTATAAATGATGTAGACAAGAAAGGAAAAACTGCGAGTCTCAATTGTTAGAAGCCCTCTAATTATCCACCGGGATGATCTCCAGAGACTGTCGATGATCATATAACCAAGTATAAACATGAATATAAATATAAACAGACATACAGGCACGTGCAATTGTATACTGACGTTTTTCAAGGTCTGTTTCATCTCATGTTATTGATTACAAATATGTTTTTAAATCATATTTTAACCTGTTTGAGAATGGCTTTGTGTTGGTCGGATAAGTCAACGAAATGGATATTTCTGGTGGCTCCCTTGTATTACTTTTCAATGATGACATTCTTTTCTTTTAAATGAATGAACACACTGACCTCATGCTTAACATATTGACGACCGTCTTCAATAATGTTCAAATTAAATGTTGCATTTATATGGTCCAAATGAGGTTTCATCATTGACTTGCAAGCACATAATGCATTAGAGATGTTATTTTACCATAATGGTTTGAAAAAAATCTAATGTTTATTTTTCTTATTTGTTACTAATGCCCTTTATAAACAAAGTTTGGTTTCTGGTGAGAAATACGTCATAAAATGCATCAGATAACGGGGAAATTGAAGGGTATGGTTGTGCAGTCAAATTGTGAATATTAAAGTCTTATGAAGCAGGCCGGACCTCTATATTTAAAGGCTTATGCATAACATTTATAAAATAAACGATCTGTTCTTTCTTCCTTTGATATCGATAATATCTGGCACATTTTCTGTATGGTGTATGATACCTCATACTAGAAACAACATAGAGAGGTTATGCATGGAAGTCGTCATCTAAGTGCTCAATTTACTAGTAAACCTTTTTTCTTAAATCCTATATGTTCTATTACAAGACTCAAAGAAAGCTACCAAAAAGTTGTAAAGAGATGAGTTCTAACAAATATATAAATCATGGATTATTGTCCAACCAACTGTTTTGATTCGAGCATCACTGCTGAGTCTCATGTAGACAAAACGTACCAAATGATAAGCCTGATATGTTTGTTAAGGTTGTTTTCAACCACAGGGGTTGATATTTAAGCATAAACGCCAAAAATACCTGTATCCTAAAGAACATCATTTATATGGAAATTAACTTATCATAAATACCAGCTTTATAATTTTGCACGGCAGACGCGCAAAAGACTCATCAGTGACGCTAGAAGTTTAAAAGACAAAACAAAGTACGAAAGTGAAGAGCATGAAGGACCCAAAAGTCCGAAATGTTTTGTTACAGCTACTATCATCTATTCCTGAGGTAAAAAATCCTTAGAATTTTCAAATATTCAAAGTTTTGTAAACAGTTAATTTAGGATTATGACCATATCAATGATAATTCCTGTCCACACAGAAGTCCTGACTACTGGGCTGGTGATACCCTCGAGGAGAAAACCTCCACCAGCAGTGGCGTGGACCCAGTGTTTGTAAATAAACTCATCATAGAAACCACGATACAAATTTTGTTCGGCAGACTTACATTTCGTCTACAAAAGACTAACATTTCCAAATAAAACAAGAGACAATGATGGCATAAATCATGGTATATCATTCCTAGGTCACAATGCCTTTATACCTCAACAAAACGTGAGCTCACATTAGATCTGTGTTCAATGGCCTTGTAATTCTTTCTTAATAATATTGTGATGTCAAGACTTAGGTGTGACCTTTCCATACATTATAACATCAGTCCATCTTTGAAGGCAAAAGTGTTTATGCTTCATGTAAAAAGGACTATTTTTTTTCTATTTTAATCATGGAATTGATTGCATCACCATTTGAAGTGCTTATACTTATAGTACCACAAAATTACTGTGCGTTGTATAATTACGATCTTTTCAGTCCGTTTTATGATTGTCATATCGTACTATTGGTATAATATTGGATGTATATCATGTTTTTAAAATAGCACATGAAGATTTCAAAATATTAAAATCACATTTTAGTCTGAAGTTATAGAAACAAGAATGCACGTTTATATTATTTTACTTACTGCGACCTTGCATGTATAAATATCCACTTCTATAAATGTATTAAAAAAACTTCCTTAATGTAATTTGATATATATGCGAAAGTTCATAGGTTATTCTGCATTGATATAGACCGTTCACTTTAAAATTTGTTGAAGACATAAAGAGATGTTGTCAAATAGATAGAAAATGGATTTTCAAAAGGTTCAAAGGTGTTTTAAATACCAATATAGATATATTCAAAGTGTTTCAACCTATTTTTTTTTTCGTTTTATACCTTGTCAGTTATAAATAGGAAAATTTAAATAGGTAAATTACAACAAACATTAACGTTGTGTTATGCCGAGAGTAAATCGTCAAAGTATTCAAATGGTAAAAAAACGTAAGCTTCGGTTTGTTTCAAAATAGGAATCGTGTATTGCAAGTTAATTTAAAAAAAGTACAAATATTTTACGAGTAATTAGGTAATCTCCCTGAAAATGTCATCTAGTAATTAAAACAGCTTTAGCTATTGTTTGGTGACCAAGGGGTGCTTCTTCGTGAAATTTTTATTTTCCTTTCATTTTAACAACCATCAGTTAGCTAAGAAAGTAATTAACGCAATGTTAGTAATAACATACGCGTGAAAACAATGTTTTTGTCTTTTGTTCTACGATAAGAAATCCAATTTGAAATATGGAAATCATTGCAAGCTTGATTCGAACACCAAAACGTATTGCTACATTTTGATATAAATTCTGATACCCATTCCGTGTTAGCTTATTCTAGATAACCAATTTTTTGGATTTAAAACAGTCAATTCTATGTGAGTCCTACGCTTAATTATCGAGTTCGTTACAAATTAAGATGCTCAGCTTAACATTGGATGGACATGTTATCCAATACTAACAAACCTACAAAACGTTTACCTTAAATGATTAATCTATATTGATCCTCATACTTTTTGTAAAAGAACTATATTTTTAATCTTTATAAGGTTTAACTACTAAACGTTAGTTTATCCAAATTTAATATTGTTGTGATTGTTTAGTTTGTACACGTTCAAGCTGGTTATACAACAAGCTTGTTGATAGCCTGATAAAAATATCTTTTCGAAAGATAACAACTTAGAAATAGTTTTAACAATATGTTATTCAAATAAATCAATGTATACAATTCTGACATATGAAATAAATATAATTCGGAAACTAGCAAAATTACTTTTATTTATTTGTCTCATAGTATACAAATAAATTCCATATATGGTCATTATAATGTAAGTATGGCATGTTCTGAAATAGCCTGTTTGTAAGATGAAAATAAGATATTGAAGTTTCATAAAAAAAATATTGAATAAACTTAGTAAAAAGTATAAAGTGTTGTATTCAGAATTAAATGCTAAGGTTTTATAAATGATCGAGCATTAGTAATATAAACACGAGCTGTCTGAACTTAACAATTTAAATACAATAACAGGCCAGCATGAAAAGTGTTGTCTGATCAAACATTTTGCAAATGAGATAATTGCTATTCTTTTTAATGTCTTATTTTTTTACTATTCTATCAAATACGATATTCGTTTAATTAATTGATATACTCTTAATATTCATTTAAGTAATACCGATATAAGCTAGTCATTCATCTAAGAAAGAAGTGAAAAGAAAAAAAATAAATTTAAGTGCTAATTTGTTTTGCGTTTTGATTATGTTTAATAGAAAAACAAAAGATATGGGGTATTAATCCATGATTCAAAATCAGTATTTGCCCTTCAAAAACACACAAAAACTCTTTTGATGTTCTGTTTGGGTTGCAGTCTCATTTATATTTACCATATATATATAAATATATTCAGACATGTGTTTATGAAATAGATTAATATCCATCGTTTAAATGATAACCGTAAGCGTTCGTTACTGAAATTAATCATACGGATACCCCATATCCTTTGTTTTTCTATTCAATACTTAAGTTCTAAATGATATGTGGCTCCGAAATAACGTAAATAGGTTTAAACATCAGTGGAAGATAATCTAGTGTCTTCTCCTCGTCCTATAAACACATGAGACATATAACCATCTATGTCATCAGAATAATCATTATGTATCCCAACTTTCTTTTTACCAGGAGTGACATTGCCTCTGCTATGTCGTATGGCGTTTACATACCTCAGTTAATGGATTACACTCATGCATGTTCACACTATGCGGACTTCGTTCACAAGGGTGTGCTCCGTATACATGGTATACAAACTCTACTCCAATATTGTTAATAAGATAAACAACTTTAATCAAAACTTCATAGATTTAACCGTCACCATCACGAACTCGTTTACCCGTAAGATTTGTTGGTGTCTCAAGTCATGTTGTCTCTGTCATCTCTTTTCATGAATAAATAAAGGCAACAGTAGTTTACCGCTTTTCAATAGTCATATATCGATTTAACTGAAACAAATTCGGGTCACAAACCAAAACCGAGGGAAACACATCAACTATAAGAGGACAACAACGGAACAACAAAAACACTGAACTGCTACAAAAACAAATGCTATCATACAGAGATACATAGACATAGTCCTCTGATTTGTAATGTTCCTGAGTGTGACATTTTAACTGAGCGTGGATTCGAATGGCGGGTCATGTAGCATAGGGCAAGACACTTACCTTGTCGTCTCCCCTGGTCTCGATCCTTTTCAGGTTCATGCGATTTCCTCAGTATTTTTTTGTTACTTTGATTTGTCTCTTAATCGATTGATTGGATTAGTACATTGGTTAGCTGCCTTATATTTAATGAATCCTCAATAATTAATAAGTGTATTAAGAAGTTTGTAGGCAATGGTTTTTTACTAATATGATAATTATTTGACGTAAGTACATACACATGAGAAAAATATCTATTTATAAACATAAAAAACAACTTTATCAATGTAGTTCACGTTATAAAACGCTGAATCCGTTGATTTTGATCATCTTCATTTTTTAAGGAAGATTAAAAGAGCTGAGCTACCAGATAAAACAATTAACCTTAAATGTTTTTATTATCTATCTTTTTATCTCTGAAGGTATATATCTAAATAATTCAAAGTGAATCATAAGAGTGATTAAGGTTCTATCGTGTAATTGATACTTCTATCACACCTTAGTTAACCAAAACAATGCAAAGGACCTTACATTTTAATAAAGTATAATTGTATATGCGTGAATTGTTGCAGAGAAAATTCGGATCTTGCTGATGTTGATAAATATTTTGAATATAATATACTTAAGAATTTAACATATCTTAAAGCCTCTAGCAATCTGCCGTACCTGCAAATCTAGAACAATTGAAATTCAAAATATTACTTTATTCAAATGGTATAATATTGAAAAAATCGCAACAACTAGTAAAGTTCAAGTATATGCTTTCCGTTTTCAGATATAAAACTCGAATATATCATATCACACCTTTAAGGAAATAGACACCAAAACTACATTTATAATTTCCTTATTGCTATTTACATTCTAAATATAAATCGTGATATTGAAGTGTGTCCTTGTATTATGAGCTTTAATCAGTTGATCTTTGTTCTGCGTGCATACACATTTATTGATATGAAAATAGTTAATGCATGATATGATATTCCAACTCATTAGTACATTTTGCATTTTTTTCCATTTTTCTTATATGTCTATTATTATTACAAGTACTTCTTGATTTTGTTTATTTTGTTTCTTTCATTTCTTCATTAAAACAACCTTTTAAACAAGAATCAGATCGCAATAGCTACAGAATCATTTAAATGGTGTAAAAAGAAAAAAAACAGACTGACTCCTCGGAAAGTTCAAATCAGAAAGTCCCTTATCAAATGGCGAAATCAAAATCTCAAACACATCAAACGAGTGAAAAACAACTGACATGTTCCTGACTTGGTTTGTAACCCGGATTTGTTTTCTCTCAATCGATTTATGCCTTTATTTGGTACAGGCATTTCCTTATGTAAAAAAATGTAATCGAACTACAAGTTGAAAAAATAATAAAATTCCTTAGTTGAACGTATTCTAGATGAATGAAACGAAAACTTTCATTTAATAGGGAAATCGACACTTTTTTTTATTTCAATAAACAACACTGAATTTGCTTTTCAAACAAGATTATGATATTGAAATTTTACCTTGTTTAACTGGTTTAGATCATTTAATATTTGATTACATTCGAAAAAATAAAAAAAGATGTCATATAAAAATACTGACTTGAGACAGATAACCAGTGTTACAACTTTCACCAAAACATAAGGGACGTGACATTGAACATCTACATGTACACATCTACAGGTAAAAGTTGCACCTTTCGATTAATTCTGTTATATACGTTAAAACTTTTACTCTTCTTAGTGTCATGCACATTAAACATTAAAAAAACGTTTAACCAGAAATTTTGTTTTTTACCAATGTCATACCAAGACAATACACTTAGACCCTCCTCGCTAGTTTTATACTTATAAAAAAAATAAAATAACAAAAATAACAAAAATACCGAACTCCGAGGTAAATTCAAAACGGAAAGTCCGTAATCAAATGGCAAAATCAAAAGCTCAAACACATCAAACGAATAGATAACAACTTTCATATTCCTTAATTGGTACAGGCATTTTCTTGTGTAGAAAATGGTGGAGTAAACTTGGTTTTATAGCTAGCTAAACTTCTCACTTGTATGACAGTCGCATAAAATTCCATTATATTGACAATGATGTGTGAACAAAACAAACAGACATAATAGGTAAAAATGACAAAAATAGGGGTACAGCAGACAACATTCTGTTATAATCTTAATCACTATAAAAACAAACAGATGTGTAACAAAGAAAGACAAAAAGGCATATAGACAAAGCACATAAGCAAAAATGAAAGACAAAAATACAGAAGTTTACCATAGCACAATAACACAATGACCTTATGTATAAGATCAGAGCCACGTCATATGTAACAATGAAAAACAAAAAGGCACATAGACAAAGCACATTAGCAAAAATGAAAGACAAGAATACAAAAATTAAAAATTAAAAAAAGAGGCACAGTTTTTTAATTGCATTATATGAGAACGTTGATTTTGATCAGAGTATGCGGTCTATATTACTACAATCAAATTATTATTAATAAAGGCCTAGAAAACTATGATACAAAATAAATGTTTGACATTAAGCTATAGGGATATTATAACACCATCAGGAAAATCTTACATCATAAGTATGTAACCTTTGTGTGAAAAAAGGAGATGCGACGAAGATCAGCGTACATACTTGTGAGCACTCAGCCCTACTTCAGCCAATGACTGAGGTGTAACAGCATAGCATAAGAACAAACTGTTCAAATGAGTTGAAACTGACTTTTTTTACCATTGATATTATTACATTCTTTGTTTATCTGCTTCCAAATGGTCACACAGCTATCATGCACATTGTTAATTTTTTTTAAACCAAGTAAACTGTTTTGGTTACATTTATTGTTTCTTGATTACGGAATTTCTTTGGAAATCTTTGATAAGCTCTCTTTATCTGAGGGTTTATTATATACCGTTTGGGGATTATAATTTATATATACTCATTACACATGTATATATACATATCTACTCTAAACTCCTACATCGAAAGGATGACCAGATATAAGCTACAAACTTATTAACCGATACAAATGCCATCATATGATTTCCATAATAGTTGTCTCCATTGCATCAAATGTGAGCTTTACAAATTTATAAGTTCATATAGTCACATTGCCGGCTATCAAACTATATACAAAAAACATCATTTTTCAAAGAAAAATTTGTATTAAGATGTGTAAGTTGTTTTTGTACTTCGTGCGAATCTCATGGGTTAAGTCAGTTTCAACTCATTTGAACAGTTTGTTCTTATGCTATGCTGTTACACCTCAGTCATTGGCTGAAGTAGGGCTGAGTGCTCACAAGTATGTACGGTGATCTTCGTCGCATCTCCCTTTTTCACACAAAGGTAACATACTTATGATGTAAGATTTTCCTGATGGTGTTATAATATCCCTATAGCTTAATGTCAAACATTTATTTTGTATCATAGTTTTCTAGGCCTTTATTAATAATAATTTGATTGTAGTAATATAGACCGCATACTCTGATCAAAATCAACGTTATACAGAATATACATCTGACGTTTTTTAATCATATTATGACAAATATTTGTTATGACATCAAGTGCAACCAATGTGTTCTGAAACGTATAGTGGAATAACTGTTTAAAATATTGCTGCGGATTATTTAGCTTTGGAGACAAAAAGCATTGTTATAAATCGACCTTTATGAACAACAAAGTTGCATTTTTTCTTTGTATGATAACACACAAAACTGAGTTTTTTTTTCCATTGATATTATTACATTATTTGTATATCTGCTTCCAAATGGTCACACAGCTATCATGCACATTGTTATTTTTTTTTTAAACCAAGTAAACTGTTTTGGTTACATTTATTGTTTCTTGATTACGGAATTTCTTTGGAAGTCTTTGATAAGCTCTCTTTATCTGAAGGTTTATTATATACCGTTTGGGGATTATAATTATATATACTCATTACACAAAACTACCACATATGGTTTTACAATATTTCGGTAAAACATCTTAGTTGAAATGGTATTTAGCTAATCGCTAATTCTTTGAATATAAGATTTGATTCAATTGTTGTGTCATTAGATCAAGCATATTTTTTAACTTTCGATCGGAATGTTGGCTTTAGATTCAATGTGAAGTATAGGAAGCGACGTTAAAACAATCATTTCAATTTTATTTAAACAAAGATTGCTGGCTATCGGACGCAAAATTTTACTCTAAATGCTTCATGTTTTCAGGTACATGACACTTCTCTCGCAAATTAAGATGCGTAAAAATAATGGCAAGAAATGTTGACATCGAAAAAACATTTTATTCACTGAAACGCAAGTACAAGTAAGCTCAAAGACCATGTTTTTAAAATAAAGGAGATCATATGTTTAGATACAAACAAACAAATATGTAAGTGAAACAGTCGCATCAGTATACATTTTGAACGGATTTAATAGCTAGTCTAAAATGTTTCAATAGAATCGGGAAAAAAAACTAGTTTGAATCAGAAAATTAAAACCACATGAGATATAGCATAGACACTTGTCCATTGGTGAGAACTGACATAAATTTGCTGGTAGATATCGTATCTGGTCAATTAGTTTAGGATATATTGTAAGCGTTTACCATAGTATTCTAGTATTTGTATGACATTTAGTTTTAGGTTTCCTTTCACAGTAAAAAATGCAGTTTTTTTCATCTTCTTGATAAGTTCAACAAAACAAAAATATTGAAAAATCTGCTTTCTGTTTCCGCAAGAAGATATACTTTACTTATCACACAAAACAGAATTTGATATTAGTAAATAAAGCCAATAGTAGTATACCGCTGTTCAATAGTCATAAATCGATTTAACTGAAACAAATCCCACAAACCAGAACTGAGGGAAACAATCAACTATAAGAGGAAACAAAACGGAACAACAGAAACAAAAAAACAAACGCCAACATACATAGAAACGGACTATGTAATAACAACTGCCATATTCCTGACTTGGTACAGGACATTTCAAGAAAAAATGTAAATGATACGAAAAGTGCATTAATTTAGTCGGCCTATCCTTCAATGTGATACGAAATAGCGTTTTTTTAATTACATACTCGGCAGATTATTGGGTATTTTCAACGGGGATATATAATTTTTTTCAATACTATACAAAAACCTCAACCTTTTAATTGAAAATATTTTTTTTTTGTCAAATTTAATTCATTTTGAAACGTACAAAAAAACTTAAAAACAAATTCTGTTTACATTTCAAGCCTCAAGCAGATTTATGACTTCAAACTGTTTAGTTACCAAAGACATGAACAACGTTTCACTAATTTAAAGAGAATAATTACCATAAAAAAACGAAACAAAAATTTGACGTTTTCGAAATGTAAAGAACACAGTCTCTCATATTGCAACCAGTGGATGGCCTAGAGGTTTATGTATGCCTTCAATAACAGCTTTCCAAAATAAATCTTCCCCTACTCCAGTTTGATATGTTACATATGGAGTTGTTTTCAGCAATGTTCTGATTGGACATATCATGTGATTTGAATTAATGGTTTTCAGCATAATTGGTAGAAAAGCGTTTCTTCCTTGCCTGCGTCTGCGGTCTTGTGAAAATTCTAACTCCCACTGACACCATTCACTCTTTGCAAATTCATTACTCATAATAACTACAATTTTCCAACATTTCTTTAGATAAGTATCAACATTTTCAGTTTTTGAGACCCCAACATCAAAGTCTCGGAAATGGATACAAAGTTTGAAACCTTCGTCTTCAAGTTTTGGTAAGAAAATATTATGAACCCACTCCCTATCTTCATCACAATATACTACAAATGCATGGTACTCGTAGTCTTCGCTGCTATTTAATTGAATATAGCCTTTGCGCTTAAGTGTGTGCAGTCGAAACAAGTAGCAGTAGTTTCTGATATTGGAATGGCATTTGTATGCAGTTAGTAATAGAGCAAGACATAAGACAGCGAAAGATGCTAAAGTAATTGCAATTGTGAATAAAGGGTTCCAGGGTGTACAACTTTCCTTCGTTGGATTATAATCTTTTAAGAGTATTCCATGCATTTTTTCTGGATAAATACATTTATATTTATCTGGAAAGTTTATGAGTTTTGGTAAACTATGATTTTTATATCTGAGCCAATTTCGAAACCACATAAGATGACATGTACATGCAAAATGATTATTTGATAGATCAAGTGTTTCAAGTCTGTTTAACATTCCGTCTGGAAACGATGATTCGTTGATAAGGTTGATATAGTTGCCTTGAAGATTTAAGTGCTTTAAATTTTTCATCGTTTCAAATAGCCTGTCATTCCAGGAGGACAAAGAATTTCCTTGCAGAGTCAACCGTTTTAGCGATCGCAGTGATTGGAAAACTTTATGTGGTATCCATGTTAGACGAGTGGAGTGCAGATTCAAATCGGTAAGATTTTCTAGTGGATTAAACATTCTATGTAATTTTTTTGATGATGTTAAAAAGTTGTTTGTTAAGTCAAGGTATTCCAGCTTAGGAGTATGTCTAAAGATATTGTCTAGATCGAATCCTGTTAAATGATCAAAGTGAAAATTATTAAAACCAATATTCAGCCTGTGTAAGGATAGGCTTTGAAAAGCTTTTCCGTATATTTTTGTAAACCTATTTTTTTCAATGGATAATTTTTTCAATTGGTGCATTGCATCAAACGTCGATGACAACAAAACTTTCAACCTATTTCCATTGAGTTGCAGGGTTTCTAGAGACGGCAAACATCTGAACGTGTTAGGATCTATATTAGATAAAGCATTTTCGCTTAACAGCAATGATCTAAGTCTTGGAACATTACTTGCATCGCTATTGTTAACGCAAAAGCTTGGAAGTCGGACAATATCGTTATTGTTCATATTTAATTTTCGTAAATTCACGATCGTTGGTATGATAAATATTATTATTTTATCTTCTGACATATCTAGTGTCTTCAAGTTCTTGAGACTGGTTATCCCTTTCAATGAAAAATTCGAAAAACTGTTTCTGCCAAGATGTATTTCTGTAATGTTTGTTAGTGCTGAAGAAGTAAAAACATAATCTGGAATAACTGTCCAACCATTGTCCTCTAGGCGAATTTTTTCTAATGTTGTCCCACGTCCACTAAATGCGTTTTTGAAATATGTGATATTCAATCTTTTTTCTTTTGATATTTCTAAAGAGTGTAAAAACTTTAAGTCGACAAACGCATCGTCATTAATATGACGAACTGAGTTTGAAACCAGAGATAGCGACTGTATATAGTACCGTGTTATATTTGAAAGAAAACGTCTTGTCAGAGTATGAAATTTATTGTTTTGGAAATGAATAGATTTGATATAATCCGGAAATGTTGGTATGTATGTAAGCCTCGAACATTTTGCTAATTTACTAGAGTTGTAACATGTGCATACCTGGTTTGGGCATTTCTTACACATTAAACATTCGATGCACATGATAATAACCAAAACTGATATTTTTGAACTGCCCATCATCGCATTGGATAAGATCTGCAAGTAGAACAAATGACAGAAATATTAGTTTTGTATATTACTTAATACAAATTTTAAAAAAGAAATATTTACTGAGATATCAAAGTTTGCAGTACAAAAACTTTCAAAAAATGTTATGGGCGATTCTTCAAGCATTTTCTTTGGGTTAGACAATAGACGTTTACCAATACGCTATAATAAAATGATAATTCACTTGATATGACTCATCAATGCATTGAACATGACTAATACGACGAGTGTCACTAGTGGAGCAGGATTTGTTTACCCCTTTGGAGCACATGTGGTCCCCTATGTTTTGGTTGGGATTGAGATGCTCAGTCTTTATTTTTTTTATTCAGTGATTTGAAAGCTTGTTTGTCTCTTCTTCCTTTTTTTTTTGCAATGGCGTAGTCAATTTCTTCCCGACGTTTTAAAACCATAGGTAAAAATGACCTTCGAAATATTGGCAAAACTCTTCGTAATTTATGGTTTTCAATTTTCTTTTATTATTTAGTTTAACATTCCATCTGCTTTGATTCGAGCACTTATCTAGAGTCAACTCTCCGCCAGAGACCAAATGACATAGAAGTTATTAAGAATAGGTCATCCTACAGCCTTCAACAATATCCCCCTTCTGAATATAGCAATAAGACTGTTAATTTTCCAGTCTGAAGGATATTTTGACAGCCGAGCGGATTTATTAAAGATTATTGGAAGAATACGGCTACACTCACGGGACAAATTTTAAAAATCTTATGTCTTATGACTTATTACATCGGGTCCCGATGCCTCGTTTGGATCTTGATTTGTGAATACATCGACAATTTCTTTTAGATTAATAGAATTTTTTAGAATAATTCATTTTTTTTTTTGTGAAGACTTGAATGAATAACGTTTACTTCTTCTAATGATTAAGTTCAAAAGTTCACATTAATCAATGTCCTCATAGACAAAGTAGTCTTTGTGCCACGTTTTTGATAAGCAGAAAATAATTATTCTGGCCCTGATCGGACCTCATCAAATTTACCTGATTTAGTTTTTTTTTAAACTCCGTGTCTAATTACATGTATATAAAAAACTTTTCAACTAAGATAGCACTTGCGTTTAAACTCAACAGTACTAATATCCTAACCTCGGTGTTGAAGATAAGTTGAATCAAATTTGCATGTCACACTGATGATCAATTCGAACTTTATTTATCTCAAACTATTTAAGTCTATGATTTTGGCTCAAAAAGGTATATATCAGGGTCCTCGGTCATAAAACTGTACTCAGTACGCGGAGTACAAAATTTGTGCTCGAAACACCAAATCCAGTATTTTGATTGGTTGATTTCTGAGTCTGAGAACGATAATCGTGCTCGAAACTTTTATGACCGCAAGGCCAGATATACGCCAGTGAAAATCAAACGAATGTCACAAATATAAATTCTTATGGTTATTATACTTCAATAAAAGGCAAGTGTCTACATTTACAGAGTACAGAGAAGCTAAAATATATTTAACAGAAACTGTCAAAGCAATCTACCGTCAACATCTATAAAGGACAGAGAACGGATACATAACCGAAGACAATGATTGATAATTGTTTTTTACTTAAGACAGGCACATGAAATATTTGGAGCACTAAGCCTTAACTTTTTGATATCGATCAATGGGGTAAATAGTAACTAACAAAAATAAGCTAAAATCATGTGTACATGAAAAAATTCAATAACATTAGTATAATTCAAAACCAATTGTTTTAAGAACAATTGAAGGTCTTTCCACATCAATTTTCTAAATGATTGATAAGAAGCTACTTCTGATTTACTCAAAGTTACTATTGCCTCCCAATCATAGTTTCTTCATACTGATTCAATTAAGATATGGTTTATATATACTCTTGCCTGAAATAAGGGAGATGATTGCCAACTTTCGGTTTCGAAAATGTCACTTCCGATCTCATATGATAGCTCTATTTACACTGATTCCAAAAGTATATGGTTTATATATACTTTTACCTGTAAAAAGGGAGAAAATTGGCTACTTCCGGTTTAGAAAATGTCACTTCCGGTCTTATATGAAAGCTTTATTCACACTGATCCCAAAAATATAAAGTTTGTTTACACTTATGCCTGTAATAAGGGAGATAATTTGCTACGTCTTGTTATTGAATTCACTTCCGATCTCAAATGATAGGTTTGTGTATGTCCATTCAAAAAATATATGGTTTCTAGGGTTTCATAAAATAAGTGCAAAAATCACTACTTCCGGTTCGTTCAAGGTAACTTCCGATTGACATTTTTCAAGCTCATATGTCACCCAACATTTTGCAAAAGACCTTATGGCTTTGTCATGTAACAATCTGAAGTAACAATCAATTTACTTTAAAATAAAACATTTCAGGGACAGTAACTCCGTTAAGATGTCATTGGATTGTTTCAGGCCTGATATCATATTTTCATTATTCACACTGATTCCAAAAATATATGGTTTCTATATACTTTTGCTTGTAATTAGGGAGATATTAGGTACTAAAAAAGTACTTCTGGTTTATTGAAGATCACCTCTGGTCTAAAATGATAGGTTCAAGTATGCGTATTTAAAAAATATATAGTTTCTAGGTACTTTTCCATGAAATATGTGCAAAAAATGGCTACTTCCGGTTTACTCAAGGTCACTTCCTGTTGATATTTTTCAAAGTCATATGAACACCAACAGTTTGCAAAAGACCCTATGGCTTTATCATGTACCAAGTTGGATAAATAATCAATTAACCTTAAATTTCAGGGACAATAACTCCTATTAGATGTCATTGGATTGTTTCAGACCAAATGCATCATATCATCATCACAATCAGGCAAACATTTTGCACTAGTTCTTTTATATATATATCTTTAAAAGTGACAGAGGAGATCATAAAACAAGGAAAAGTCAAAATTAAGAATATGACCTTGACCTTTGACCTTGACCTTTGACCTTGACCTCAATTTCATTTTAGTGAACCAATGACCCAAAATCAATATACCTAAGGTCTCTATCACTTACCATTTATATGAAACCAAAAACAGTATTTACAGGACAATTCCTAATTGTGTTAACTTCATAGATTACTAGAACATACTGCGACTGAATTAAAGTACAGGTTACGCCTTATTTTCAGTCTGGATTTTTATTGTCTTCGTATTGTCATTTAATAAAGTCATGCTGGTTATAAGGTGCACAGTTCTCTATATATGCCTTCAAAATCTTTCTGTTTGAATCCGTAATATAGCCAATCCCAAATACACTGTCTGTTGAGGCACTTGACAGAGACAGAACGTAGAGATTAGGTAACAGGTAACAGGTATTATTGGTATCGGTATCGGTATCAGATTCGACTCGTTAACTTGTTAATCATAGATAATAATAATTATGTGGAAAACAATAGGGCCTTAATCAACACCATTGTCCTGTTTTATTTTATATAATAAAGTTGACTTCTTTGATTTTTTGTTTTTACACCATGCCGACTAACAAATAGAAAACCGTTAATTTAGTAGTTTAGATATTACTATAAAAGAGTGGCAAAAGATTCCAGAGGGACATTCAAACTCATAAATCGAAAAAAAATGACAACGCCATGGCTAAAAAAGAAAAAGACAAACAGACAAACAATAATACACAAAACACAACATAGAAAAATAAAGACTAAGCAACACGAACCCCACCAAAAACTGGGGGTGATCTTAGGGGCTTCGAAAGGGTATGCAGATTCTGCTTCACATATGGCACCGGTATAACTGTCTGGAAGTCGAATTTTTCTGAAATTGTGTAGAATCATTCATGCTGCACTTTCAATAATAATTCATACGATTTAAGTCTTTTAAATGTTTTTACCAATTTATGGTGGATTGATTTATGGCTACCCAGCGGCAAATATTGGATGCATATTCTCAGTTAAAATACATATAGAGTGAGGAGTTTTGGTATGATTCCCCATGATACAATTTTCTACCTGAGTTAAAATGAAGTGGTAGTAAGCAATTAAAGGCCAACATACTGCTTTCAACAATGATGAAATCCTAAACCGTATAGTCGACTGTTTATGTTAATTTGATATGAATATACCCTTCTTTTACTAGATTAACACATGCAGACAGACTTATTCAATGTCCCACCGTTTTAACATGCTTAAGTCGGAACACACTTGTCCACATTTTAAAGGTTTTAGTTTGACTCAAGTAAGGGCTAATTCCAACGAGGAAAATTCAGCATTATTGTTCTATTTCATGATGGTCAGTTTTTATTGGTTGAGGAAACCGTAGAGCCCGGAGAGAGCAATCGACCATCGGTAGGAAAACCGGCAATCAAAGTCAATTACGACTGGAGCCGAGCGCACCTACGCACGGGATTCGAACTAACAATCTCAGAGCTGACGGGCTAGTGATACAGTAGTTCGACTACTTAGACAACTCGGCCACCGAGTCCCCCCAAATAATGACACATGCATCTCAGGTGTTTTGTTTTTTAAATAATGAAAACATTAAGTTCATTGACATGTATAATGTTTACTGCAAACGTATTTATATTTGGTTTTTTTTATTTACGTTCAGTGACAAACATTACACGAGGTAAGGAAAAGAACAAATTAATCAACCCGTCAAATAATAGTTTTTTAAAGTCATATGAAACGAATTTCTTGAAATTTTATGTTTTCGAAATTATTGAATCAATACATGTATATATACTAAACTAAGTTTTGCATGCACGTTTTTTTATAGTTATTACACATCTGTAACGTACTATCGGTAAAAAATATTTCATTCAGTGGTTGTTGATCTCAAGCTAAATAACTTTCGAGTTTGTTGCCGAAGTTTACCGGATCCTGACATTGACATTAAAACAGAGCACGTGGAAAGCGTGACAGATAAATAAATTGAAAGAGCCATGCCATTTGTTTTTTGTTTTTATATACAAGTATATTTACCATGCGTTCCCATTTGTTAATTAAACTATTCCTTAACAGTTGCTAAATCATTTGTTGTATTAAATTTGTTCTTTAAGAATCTGTTATTACTATTTACCTTCAAGAGCACGTTTCTTTACATTCTTACATCACGGTTTTCCCCTCGCACTTGCGCTATGCGGTGGCCGAAGTTATAACTTAAGGTCTCGTAGTTAAGGTCACTGCATATGGGAAAATATCGGCGAATTAGTGTCTGGGAAGTCAATAATTCAATATCGGTACATTTATGAAGATTTTGATAATGTAAACGATATTCTTTTTTAAAAAGTTCACGTTCACTTCCTTTAAGAGTGAAACTTAGCCATTTAAGTATAGAAAACATATTAAAATCTTTCCAAAATTTGAAGTTTCATATGACTTTAAGATTGAGTTTACCAAGATGGAGGTTGAAAAATGTTGCTGCCACTATAGCAAAAGGATAATATGTTGGCTAAGAACGATGATGTAGCATATTAAATCAAAGTTGAATTGTTGGTAAGATCGTTTAACGTACAACAATACAACTGTTATTTTTTACTTTGACACGAAGGTTGCTTCTTGAACACGTCATAATTATCATTTGTCATTCTCTTTTTCTTCAAAGTCACTTTATGAATTTACTTACCAGAAGTTGTTTTTTACAAGTATATTGCTTTGAAAATTCCGAGTCAACTCCAGCTGAACGCATACAATTTTTCCTTAGTCTCTTATTATATACTAAAATTATATCATAATATGATCATTCGAATTACAATGCTCGTGATATGAGGTAATATTTAAAACAATAATTCATATCTTAAATGTAAATGAAATTAAGGAAATTCAAAACAAAAGTGTCGATTTCCTTAAATCAATGATTTCGATTCATTGGGGAAACTTTAGAAGAATCAATATCTCTTAAAAGATTCGAATATGAAAATCATAACAAACAAATTTAATCCTGATTCTGAATAGCATATTCTATATGACTTTGTCGCGTAGGTCTTTTTCCGACCGGAAGTAAAAATTTTGACAAAGTTGGGCGACCGTTTTGCTGTGGGTGATGAACAATTTCGTATTCCAAAAGCAGTCAAAATCTCCCCGACATTCATCCAGTAAGGCCTCGTTTACAGAAAATAACAATAATATCTACTTTTAATATGTCCTCGTTCTGAATATGTAGCATGTTTATCTATTGTCATAACAATTTATAATATCAAATAAAATTAGAAGATTTAGCTTACAAAGTAATTATATTTGAAAAAAGTAACATTCTTTTTTAGTGGAAAATTGTTTTAACGTTAATTAAGCTATATTTAAAAATTGTTTGCTAGCCCCTCTCTATGATTAATGTAAGATAACTCTGGTTAATTTTCCCAACATTTTATCATTAAGGGGAGATAATATAATTCGGTTTTCATTTATAGTCTTTTTTCAAAAAAGTTAGAAATAATTTATGTAGGTTCCAATGATAATTTTTCACTAAAGCATTTGATATTTTTAACGTGGTGGTTATGGTGGTCTGTTTTTGTGTTTGTGTGTATGTGTATCTTGTGTGTGTTTGTGTAAGGGGGTGTTACACTTCATACATGTATTTGTCTTTAGGGATAAAATAATGCAGATGAATTAAGACAATATGTCTGCTTCATTTGAGTTCTGACATAATTTTATACACCTTATTAAAGCAATAAATGCTTTTACAAGTAGAAGGATCAATGCTGTTGGAGATTATATGATGCATACAACAACTTGAAACAGTGTATTCCTGACAGGAGAATGAAACATGTGTTATTTACCTGAATATTTTACCTCAAATTAAAAGTAGACAGAATACTTTATATAAATGTATTACGGTAATAAGGCTTTAACAGCAAATATTTTCATGATTAGTTAGAGGCAGATGCGTTATCTGTACTCTCACCCATGATTGTCTCATCAGATTAAGTATCTTAATGATGAGAAAAGTTTTCAACGACCTTGAATACCCATGATGATTTTTTTTCTTTTTTTTTACAAATAATAATTTAATGAAAAGAAAGTACAGACATATTCGACTCAACATTTAACACATCAAAACATCTTAGTTCCATATAGACAGAAACCCTTCCAAACATTTATGCTACACCTAGTTAGTTTGGCAATCATGACGCCACGAGTCTTGCATATAGAGCTTTACATCAGACAGGCAAACCGTCTTATTCAATTGTAATTGGTTTCTTAATATGCATCACACTTTTTTTTTCAATTATTCAACATTTATATACAATAGATATATTACATATTACACAAAAATATTCACAAAACAATGGTTAAAAGTATAATGACATATATCATCAACACAATAATCAAAAATTAAATGCAATGACACCTTCAGTCTCTTGCACAAGAATATTATACTTTAAAAAGTGTTTCTCAAAAACATTTCTCTTACATTTTACACCACACAAATATTCATACAGGTAAGTTATATAATGTTTTGAAGTGTTTTTAATTAGTCTGATAAGATCAACATTACTGTTTAAATTTTTAAGTACATTCCTTCTTCTGAAGATACAATATCTCGCTATGGATAACAGGAAATTGACAAAACTTACATTTACACCTTTGAAATATCCAAGTAAACCAAACATGAATACCACTTCATACACTACATTATTAATTTTGTCAGAATCAAATAAAACTGACAACTTTTGTTGCAGAAACTTATGAAATTCTACTAGTTCAGAATATAATAAAAATAAATGAGTGATATTTTCTACTTCCTTTTCACATACATCACATACATTGTAATTAATAAGTTTCATAGTCATGAGTTTAGAATTAGTGAAAATACAATGATGTGCTATTTTGAAATCTAGATCCATTAATATAGATAGTTTCCAGTTAAATTTGAAGATCTTGCACGGTCGAAAGAATTTTAAAAATGATGATGATGATGGGAGTTTTCATTACCTTGACTGGCTATACAGCCCTCGCACGGTCGGTTATTTACTTACAACTCCTAAGTTGTGCTCTAAATGTTTTATATCATTTTCATATTCATGAAATTTTAGGATTTTTTTCTTGTACCGAACGCTTTTATGGCTTTTTGCATACATTTAGTTAAAAAGTCTTTCAAATGATGACCGAGAGGGTGCTGTTGGATTGACTGAAGAATTGGGATTAAGCCAAATAAGTTTGACTCGATAGGTAAGAATATGTTATTACAAAGTGCTTTATCTCTGTTAACTTTTTTTAACACGAATTAAGTTTTATTGACAACGTCTTTAATATTTGTCCTGCATATACATGGACTATTTTCAAATGGGTGTCTATGCAAAAATCAGTCAATAATTCTTCATATTAATTTGACTAAAATATGTACAATTTTCTATTTGTTTTCTCTCATAACAGTCTTTGTTTGCATTCACAAAGTCATGTTTTTATCTGACTGTTTATGGCGTCTTTATCCTAAATCCATTGGATGTTGGATATGTACTGATTGATATTTTAGTCTTAGATGTATGACTTTTTTGTTTTGGATGCATAGATACGCTGCAACGTCCGGTCTGTGTTTTCGTTAGTTTTTTTCTGCTTTGTATCGATATTGTCAGGTAAGTCCTTTTCAACTGATTTTCATGGTTTTTTCTAATGTTGTGCTGTTACACTACTGTCCCAGGTTAGGTGAGGGTTTGCTTCTCCAATAAAAATCGACCTGCATGATACAGCCAAACGTTTTAAAAGTAGGTTGTTCAGTGGTTTTCATTTTTTGGTGTGGTTCATAGGTGTTTCTCGTTTTTCGTTTTTTTATACAGAGTAGAACGTTTTAATTGTTTTACATTAGTCATATTGGGGGCCCTTTATAGCTTTCTGTTCGGTGTGAGCCATGGCTCCGTGTTGAAGGCCGTACTTTGACTTGTTAACTTTTTATACATTGTGACTTGGATGACGAGTTGTCTCGTTTGCATTCATAGCACATCTTCTTATTTATATTAAACACAAACGAATAATTACTTAATCAATCAATCGTTATCGACAGTATACTAAAATTGAAAGTAAGATGAAAAAGAATGATGAAACGAAACAGTTGGTGGGTTAAATCAAATACGAAAATGTCGAGCTTTAAATACCACAATTTCTGAAAAGCTGTGCAAAGTACGGTTAAGGCAATTTTAAACTCCGGCTAAAAAACCTTGGTGTCTTGAATAATTCAAAATTTGATATAATGTACAGAAACTTAACTGAAAAAAAAATCAATAAGAATTTACAGAAGGATGATAAATGTTGTAGTGTTTTATTTGTAACAGTCTAAAATTATACAATGTTGTATTGTTTCCAAATCAATGGATCAAAGATGTTGTAGTGTTTTATTTGTAACAGTCTAAAATTATACAATGTTGTATTGTTTTCAAATCAATGGATAAAAGATGTTGTAGTGTTTTATTTGTAACAGTCTAAAATTATACAATGTTGAATTGTTTCTAAAATGACCTTGCTCCAAAGGCAAAAACATTAATTTTTGTTATGAAATTGAATCGTAATTAATTGTTTGTTTAAAACATCCACAAATTGTCACCATAAAATGTTTTTTATGCTTGTATTTCATATTTGATATGCTAAAATATCAGAACGAAGGGACCTGACTTGCTCAGTACAGTCTGATAGACCTTTGTCATCGTAAAATTTGCTGATAAGTCCACAGTCGTTTATTGATGAGTCATATATAACCATTTTACATGTTGCTGATTTCATCCGACATTGCAAGATACACTGTGATAAGCTGTAATTTTTATCTTCCTCCACAGGTTGGTCCATAGGAAAATATATTTTTCCTGTCACTATCTTCGAGATGTGGACGTCCAAAAGAGTTGCGTCTGTAAAATAATAATAAAAATATGTTTTGAATATGGTTTTAGATTAATAATCTTTCCAAATGCAAATTGAAAACGAATATTCTGACCTACAAAATGTTATAAATAGTTGTGCATGGATAACGAAAAAAATATTCATGCAGCATTGTTTTGGAAAAAAAAAACTGTTGAAGGGATTGAAAATATATGCTCATGTGGAAGAAAATCTTCCTGTCCCCAAAAGAATATCAAATTGCCGTTTCCTTGTGATAATAAAAGTACAAGTAATATCAACGAGAAGAATATTAAGGTTGACAAGATACTGCATGTTACTTTGGAAATTGCAAACAGTTATTAAATTATATCTGTTTCAGTCGTAAATCCATTTTGAAAGAGTTTTGAAAAAGTCTAAACGGTTGAGTATTCTTAGATCAGTTCTTTTTGTATTATACCTTTTTTAATTTTTTTTTGTGCTTAATGCCTATCTATCTATGGCGTCAAGCCCTTTCCAAATAATTTTGCATTTTGTTCTTAATATGTTGAGTTGCTACATCACTATCCCAGGCTAGGAGGTCTTGATCGCTCCACATTCTTTATTATGTTTATGTTCCTGTCCTAATCCAGGAACCTGTAAACCAGTGGTTGTCGTTGGTTGCTGTCGGTCATAATAATGTTTCGATTATTTTTTGTTATAAATTAGGTCTTTAGTTTTCTCTTTATATTTTTTCACATCTTTCATGTCGGGGCATGTTATATCCGACTTTACGGATCAGGCCGTTGGGTTTTTTTCCTAATTGTTTCACATTTTACCATGCTGGGTTTTTATAGTCAACTTTACGGTATGGGTTTGTGTACTATTGAATCTAATATTGGTGACTCTACG